AGGAGTGCGGGTCGGTAAATGCATCCTATAGGGAGGAGTATGCAATGGGTTAGTTTGATGAAAATCATGCTGAGTCGTCAATTTCGTTTACCTCAGAGGTTGAGCACTGAGTAACAGTGATGTTGGACTTTATTTGGGCAATGCACCCTCCTCCTTTACCATGTAGGCTGTCCCTCCTGAACAAGGAATATTTGTTAACGGTGATCTCTGTGTCACAAATGTCAGAGGTACACCATGCTTCTGTAATCGTTGTCGCGGATGGATCGCAAATCGGAGATAGCAGTATTATCTCTTTCATTTTGTTGCGTACAGAGCGGGTGTTAAGCAGGCAAAATGAGAGCGAATTAAGAGAACAAAGGTGTTTGGGTCTTTGGCGTACATCGCGATGGTGATGTATTGCTTTTTCGTCAGTTGGCTTGGCAACTTAGTTGACGTTTTTGCAATTTGAATAATCCAGGTGGGTCCATGGCAGGGTTTGTATAAGAGTGTCTAATGCTATCTGTGCTCTTTGTCATCTGCCCAGTTGGTTTATGTAGGTCCTGCACTGACTGATGTGGGAGTCGATTAGACTCTCTGCGCGCTAGGCTTCTGGACGGTCCTATGGCAACAGGGTGTTTGTGTCTGGTGCTGGGTATGTTTATAGATTGAGTAACCCCTGGTAACGACACAGTAATGTCTTCAGTATTTTGTTGGAGCAATAGGGTAGCACATGGGTTGGTGGCGATTTGTGTCACGGGGTGAGACGGGGACTGGCCTTCCACCTCTATAGGCAGTGAGATCACTTTGGAGAGATCCCAGGCCTGTTTTCGAGAGCCGTTCGTCGATTTCCCCAGGCCTACTGTCGTGTCATCGGCTCTACTACTTCTGTGTGTGAGTGAGCTATTTTTGAGGCTTTGGTGTTCTTCATTCATTGTTTTGGTACAGTAACCAGTCCTCTAACAGATTATGTTGCTGTTGTGGATACCGCAGCTTGATTAGAGTTTGCAACCCTTTTGCATTTTGTGCGATTATGTCTTTGACAGAGTGTGAAGTCTTGTGAAAGTTTGACACTTTTATATGATGCGGATACACTAACGAGTTGACTGAATGACAGGAAGTGTCTGGTGTGGTAAGAGCTATTAAATTTGAACAGCAAGGAGCAGGTATATTTCCCCATCTTCCTGAGGAGACGGATAACTTGGTATTCTGCAGAAAACATGTTACAAGCACGCAAACATAAGGCCTTTAGTTGTTTGATCGGTTCGTGGTCGGGCATGTTGTATACTGGTATATTAGGTGGGGACATGGTTCCTTTATTAACCTCTGTAGACATGAAATCTAGCACACTTTCTGTTTTCAATGGGGTTTCAGAACTGGCTTCTAGATTAAGCCGACAGAGATCCAGCAGTGGCGGGATAACTTCAAGCGCAGGGTTCAGGTTTTGCAGTGACTTCTGCGAGGTTATCAAATCTTCTTTATTGTAACGCGGAGTGTTATATAGCTCCGGTATCAAATCGAGTGCCTTGACTTCAGGGCCTCTTCCAGGGCTTGACGTCAGAACAGTTGGTGAACGTGCTCCTTTAGCTGAGACGCTGGGATTAAGTTTAAGGGTGTACGCAGCACATATAAGTTTGTTGGGCTGGACCACAGTCGAGCAGTAGTGGTTACACGTCTGGTGGGTTCATTAATACCAAAAAATGAGCAAAGTAACCAACGGTTACAGAAGGCTCAGCAACGATTCACGTCACAAATGTGATAGTTATTAGCAAATGTTTCTTTGCAGTATAGGTAAATCACATTGTAAGACTAATATGTCTCGGAGTTAACGGCGTTAGTTCCCGACCGAATAAAGTGAAACGGACAAATAACTTCTTAAGTTTGTCCTCGTTTTAGTTCTCCTGTTTTCTCAGCAGTAACTTCTTGCGTCCCGCTGTGTACGTCCAAATGGTGTCTCTTGAAAATGGCATTCGGCAACGTTCCAGAGGGGCATGATCCTCAGGAGGTTGAGTTTCTGAGCAAAAGAGGCAGTGTATCCTCCAAAATGTTCTCCTGTGCAAACAGGAGGTCTACTAAACCGCGCAGAGTACCGATATAAAATACCAAGATATGCAGGAGCAACGTAACGTCTGATTCGTTTTAGCGCAACCGAAGGTTAAAGATATGAACGGTTCTAGGGCGAACAAAACAGGGCCTGCACCAATGGCAACCACATCCATTCCAAGCCCTCGAACCACATCCGTGACCGCAACCAGCGGATAACATAACGAATGAATTAGGTTATAGAAGGAAGCCCTAGCTATCCGTGTAAACGTGCCCGTAGGATCGAATAATGTTACCATCAGTGACGACCTAGCTCTGTCATTCTACTTAATGTCCCCGTCTGCGATGACAGCTTTCTAGAGCACAAAGACACGCTTGACAGGCAGCAGCGGAACTCCTTTTTCGTCATGCTAGGTCTGGGGGCTTCCGAGGCAAAACGGTGGTAACCGTACGAAGGCACCCGTTCACCCCCTAGGGAATCCTCCACCAATGAGAGTGACCCCTGGCTCAACTAAAGAAGTCGAAAGGTTCCGCTCCGAAGAAGAGGACGACCAAGACGCATACACGGCTCTGTAAAATCGAAGTAACATCAGGGTGCGGGAGACAGGAAGTCGTTTCAGTCCAACCTCCCCAAGGAGCTTGAAGTAAATCCCAAAAGCTCACACCGATTCACAGCAAAGAGAAAATCGACAGGTCAAGTCGCATGCATCATAAAAGGTTCGAATGGAGAGAACTTCTCTGGACGGAAGACCGCCGAAATGTTAAGCACCGCGTTTGACACACAGCTCAGCATTCCTCCAGGAAAGTGTGCAGACTTACTGCCCGGACAGCCCACAAAGGTATTGGACGCTGCAGAGTTACACGAAGCACACACAAGTCGTGCAGATGTTCTCTTCAAGCTACCAAAGCTAAGCGCTGGGAAATCCCCAGGGTGCGACGACATTCACCCACCCGTGTTGAAAGAATGTGCAAGTGCCCTAAGTAGTCCACTGTGCAGTCTTTTTCAGCGCTCCTTGGACGAACGAAATCTTCCACAGGAGGGGAAATGGGCCATCCTCTCCCACATATTCAAAGGAGGAGACAGGCAGAATCCAGAACGTTATAGACCCATGACACTTCTAGACGTAGTATAAAAAGGTTTGGGAAATGTAATAGACGGCCCGATCAGGGAATATCTGGACGTGAAGCAAGCACTCAGTGACGCCCAACATGACTTCCAAAAGGATAGGCCCTAAACCTCCAAGCTCCTGATGGTCCATGGTCACTGGACAGCATGCTAAGATCTCAAAATCCTGGTCCACGCGATTTTCCTGGATTTTGCCAAAACCTTTGACACTCTCACACACCATCCTAATACACGAAATAGCTGGGTTAGGTATCCACGGCCGGGTGTTATCGTGGCTGAAGAACTACTTAGACAGTAGTGAGTTCTGCACAAAAGTCATCGGGGTCTACTCAGCTCCGACAGCATCATCGTCCGGTGCCACACAAGGAGCAATACTGGGTCCACTCTTGTTCCTACTGTTCGTGAATGGCCTCCCGCTGCATACCAACCCTACGATTCTCCTGTACGCTGACGACGTCAAATTATGGAGTGTAGAAACTTGCGAAGCGGAACCGGGTGCATTACAGAACGACCTCAAAACACTGGAGGAGTGGGCAGCAAATAACGAACTGGCATTTAACTTGGGTAAGTGCTGGTCCATGTTTTACAGCAGTTCTGACTCCCAGAAAGTATCCAAATCCTTCCGTGGTCCAAGTTTATCCCACTTCACAGCAGAAAAAGACCTGGGTTTAACGGTGACAGTGAAACTGGACATCGGTTCCGATTACCCAGGTGACGCCTCAAAGGCATGCGATGTACCACAATTTATGCACAGACAACTTGGTACCCTCACCCCAGATCTCTTTCCGAAGCCCTACAAGACTCATATACCACCTCACTTGGAGGTCCATAATGTCTTCGCTCCACGACAACTCAAAGGACGGACGAACCTACTGGAGAAAGTCCAGAGGCGAGCCACAAGAGGGGTCGTTAGGATGCAAAGAAAACCATATGAGGATTGACTGAAAGACCTAGGCCTACACTCTCTTAGCTACCAAAGGTTACGCGGTGACTCGATTACGGCTTAAGAAATGCTGAACAACTGAAATCACCAGAACAGAGGATTACCACCGAGTGGGCACTATGGTGATCCTTGTGGAAACCCTAAAAGAATTGCCCACCAAAGTTCAAAAACTCATATGGGTTCACGCTTCTTCTCCCTCCTAGTCTGTGGGCATTAGAATGCATTACCAGCAGATGCAGTTTCCGCCCCAGATGTTGAAAGCTTTAGGAAAAGGATAGACAGTCACGCAGAGACCCATGGTCTACCCACTTGTAGCTGGAATGCAAACTAAACAAAAGAAATCTGCTGCTGTCACCCCATTAAAACTGTTTTGCCCCTACAACCAGTTTTCTTTCTACTGCAACCATTTAAGCCCTTTTCATTGCCTCCACTTACCATGAGTTAGCCTTGCCTACCTAAGTCCTTCATATTTTTGAACACGGGTGCAAGTAGATTACTCCATCAGTCCATTTTTCTTTTCCCTTCCACTCACACAAAATTCCATTTCCAGGTTTTCTCTTCATATCTCTAACTCTTTCTGACGACTTGTCCTAATAACTGTCTGGCAACACGATATCTGAAGAAACCAACTGTACTACAGTCCAAGGCGAACTAACCAACACTTAACCTTCTGTTCCGTATACCAGAGCTATAGCAGACGAGTGGCTGCATCTACTGCATTGGAATCTGCCAAAGACCTGGAACCAATCCTCAAGACCAAGAAGCGAGCAAGAAGAAATCAAATGATTACATAAGCTCGTTAAACAGATATTAGATATTGGGTATTGTCTTTTGTTTTTATGTGTCGGTTACTAGTGCAACTTACTCTGTGGGGCATTAAAAATGACGAGTACCAAACGCCAACCAGTTGATATGGTCGAGACGAAGGAGTACTTAGTTAAGAATGGTATCCCACAACTTTTTGAGGTGTGTTTATATGGAAATATTACTTGCAACCCTTTTATGTCAAAAAAGTTAGACAGTCAGCGTTGTACTTAGTACATTAAACAGATATCTATTATTTCAGTATCAATTCATATGTGAGAATAGGCATGGAACAGTTGCTAGCATACTAAAAATGAAGAACATGAAATAAAAAGGGGGTCATGCAATTCTGTAGTTCTGTGACTTGTGTCAGCATATAAAAGTGCGTTTGCAAGGAAGTTAGGTCCAGGCCTAGTAGTGCTTTGTTTACCAAACACTAGCTAAAATTCTCACCCTCACAGATTTTATGCCCACTATTCTCTGTATATGGCGCGGTCACCAGTTCAGGGTGGCAGGGTCTTACATTAAATCATCTAGAAAGTCATTCCTTCTGTATAGAGTTAAGGTATTAAATTTTCATCACATAGTCTGAGAGTGCTCCAAAAATAATTTTATTTGCATATTGTTTTTAATCGGTTTTTCTGAACTCACACTGAACATATCATGGTGTGTCCTGTTTTAGGATTTGTCCTAGTGCGAACTTGACAGACGCAAAGACTAATCACTAATTATTCGGACTTGTTATATACCCACGAATACGAGACCAAAGAAGAACACGATAGCGTAGTCAGATGGAATAGTATATTTGGATGGTTGTGCCAAAATACCGATGCGTTCCAACTAACTGGCTAGAGAGTGGAATACGAGCAGTGCAACGTAACACGACAGCGTGCCAAATGGCGAGGATGCTTGACTGGGTGCCTTCAGCTTAGCGAGTCCAGTTAAACTATCAAGGTCAGCATCAATGTCGAAAGTCGTCAAACCCTAGGCTATTGATTTTGGGGAAATGTATGACGCTACACTGTGGTTGTTCTTAACTTTATATATGCATGTCGTTACAAATATTGGGGAGCCCTGTTGACTTGATTCAAAAGTATGTAGCGCTTATAAGTTCTTTGGAGTTTGAGGCTTATAAATCGCAATAAGCTTCAAGCACACGGACACAAGAATACCTTAAGTGAAGTACCAGATATCCTCAATTCCGTCCATTGAGGACTGTTATCAAGGAGTTGGTTTATTTTTGAATAGATTTCAAGAATATGCGTGCTAGGAATTTTTAGTGTTACAAAATAGAAAACGAAATAGTTCAAGGCTCCCTTAAAATACTAAGATTGTCAACCTTGTGACTGAGCTAAAGCTGTGTGCTATGATTTACAAGCACAACCAGAATTCCGCGTAGTAGAGAGCCAAGTACGTACGCTTCAGTAAATTATTCTCGAAGGGAGATGAATAACATTTGAATCTGTTCCCTTTGAGATCACTGGTACTCCATGATATGTCTCATCTGTGGTCATACGAATAGAGCAGTTTTTAGATAGTCTGTGTTGATGTTCTGTGCTTTAATGGTACTTTGGACACATGCTTTCTGGCCTGAATCGTGTTGGATGCTTGTTTTCATGAGCTTTGTAGGCTCTGTAAGTCCCCTGACATCCATCTGCACTGTGGGCCGCATATAAGTTTAAACTATAGGTTCGATGTAAATGAGAAGAACACTTGATTTGGTCATGGTTCATTGGATGCGAAAATACTACGAGGAATGATGATTTTGCAGGAGAAAAAAGCAAAGTGCTACGGAAGCAAACCAAGTTCACAAGCGAACCCGGTTATGTTGTAGTTGGTGTAAGGCAGATGTACCACTATGCTGCAACGATGCGACGAAATTTGAATAATATCGTATTTATGGGACCTAACACCATAGATCAAGGGAGTGTGAAGGCTGGTCAGGAGATATCAATGGTGAGCAGTAAGAGCCAGTACTTTCAGGCTGTTAGCTGTCATAAATGAAGTAGAAAAAAAATATATATATATATATATGTCGCGTCATTAGGGCTACTTGTAAGCTTCCGTGACATCCTCCTAGCGGACTGTAAGGCTGTTTAGACCATAGCCTTTCCAGCAGAGTACTGAGATTTAATCAAAATCTGGGGCTGTGTTGTTACTGAATTAATAACGTCTAACTTGTTCGTTCTACGTCATCTCCCGTGAGCAGTGAGCCACGGATACCCATTGTTGTGTGCATTTAATACGGTTACAAAAGTAAGGCTTTGGATTTATATGAAAAGTATGCTTTTCAGGTTATACAAAATTTTATATCTTGGATGAACGGATATTTCCATAGTGGTTACTTATTTTTCACTTTTTCATGTGTAAAGAACCTTCTTTTTTTATATTAGCAAATGATGCTAACGAAATACATGAATATTCACAGATTTTGTCTTCATTGATGTAAGCGTCATATAGCTGTCTACCTAGTGAAAGGTACTGGCTGGCTTATTTGTGAAAAAGTCATGAAGTTTTACAATTAACTAGTTTCTATTGATCAGGATAACAAATGGCTAAATTCTCCATTTCGATTATTTCAGTGGAAGAGTAGAATAAATCAAAATCTGGATTTCAAATACATCTCTTTCAACCCTTCATAACCTTCGCTGTCGATTTTCGCTTTAGTTACTTCTTCATGAAACTTGCCTCCCAACTTAGGTCGACATTTCACTTATTGTAAGTAATGTGGAAAAGTAATTTGTAACCTTGTCTTTTTTAGTGAGCAAATAAACAACACTAAAATAAAAAAAACATTTAATTTTTTCTGTTAATGTATTTTCCAATAACAAAATGTTCCTTATACGTGATATGTATCCTTATTTTGTTTTCTTTTCTTACTCAACCAGTGTTTAATGACTGGATTAATGTATCATCGTCCAGTTGATCATTTGAATTATCTACAACAATGTCTTGAGAAGATCAAGAAACGTGGTATCCAGGATGTAAGTTGGGATATGTTTCTAGAGCCTAAGCCTCTAGAACGAGGGAATCTCCTTATAAAGCCAGGTAGGGACTACTCTAATTTTGTTTTATCTCATCTTGTATCGTTATGAAAATATTAAATGCAAGCTGTTGTTTATAAAGATAGTCACTTAGTGTCGTTAGTCTTATTGAAAGGTGCTAAGCTTCATAGTGAAGTAGAATATATTGATTCCCAGAAACAAGTGTAAGATGTTAGTTCAAATTTCAGTAGAAAGAGGTTGAGTGACCTAAAACGTCATAAATTTCACAACAATACAAGTTAAAGGATACTGCTAACAAATCATTGTATAATTAAAATTACTAGACTGCTTAGCTACATGGTCTTTGCAATTTTGTTGATAGACAATCATCAAAACTTCAGTCATTTGGTAAATGGACATTACTTGTGAAAAAAAATGATAGGTCGCTGGAAGCTGTTCGCTTAAAAAGTTCGGAAGCCAGGATTAATGAAAAGGTGGCAATATGCATAAAAAAGAGCTGGTTTAAGAAATAGCTGCGGGGAATCTTGCATGCAATTCATAGTAAAATACAAGGAACAATTGAATATGAAAGACCGATATGAAAGTCGACAAAGATAGATGGAAGGAGAAGAAATTTTAAAATCAAAGTTATTAAAAAGATCCATTTTGACCGATTTTCTGTCATTTCAAGATGAATTCTCAGCCGTAAGTCCGTGTCATCTTGGAGACCTCGAATCAAGCAATTTTCAACTCTCTTAACATGGCTCAGACCAACAGTCAGTGACTTCAAGCACTGGTGCCCACGTCTAGGTTGGGAGTGGCTCAGCATGCACTGTCCATGTCCAAGCCATCTCAGTCACCAAAGGTCAACAACTTCATCAACTGACTTCCCTTCCCTCCTTTCTTATAACCCTTTGGGTGACCTCTACACTTCTCGCATGCAGATTCAACCATACGGGAGCCATATTATGAAAAAAATTGTGATGCTCATACGTAACAGCCATATAACAGAACGGAATGAACTGCAGCGGGGTACACTCGTCTTTCAATAGTTAGTCAGATATCTCCCCGGTACCACATAAGAAATATATTAGTAAATAGATATTCAAAGATTATTAAATAAATTGTGGTAACGGTGAGCTATTTACTTCAGTGTATAATCAGTAGAATATGTTTTGGGATTCACACTGGTACTGAATAAAGTTGTAAAATAGGACTAACTACAAGGGATCCAGCACATAGCTTTCAATATGTGTCCAGTTGACTTTCAAAGTGAATCATACTGTGTGCATTGTGATATTCACTGATTAAAATTTTATGTTTTAAGGCAGTCTTTCAAAAATTTCCTTTGTAGATGATTCTCAGTGTGATCCAGTCCCAGAAATCAGTTCAACTAGACTAGATATCAAACCTCTTGCTGCGGTAGTATGCATTATAGCTGGACCAGGTGTGGATAAGTCAACGTTTTCAACAGAAATTATTTCACACTATCCTAAGTTTATTTATGTTAACATGCCTAAGTTACTGAAGAAACGAGCCAAAATTGAAACAGACAAGAAAGAACCACGTTGGCCTCAAGCTTTAAAAATGATTAATAATGGAGAATTACTACCAACAGTATTACCTATTATTATATTGATAATTTTTTCAAATTTTGCCAGGAAATGGTTTTAGAATCATTTTTATGGAAATTGAATCAGCATGCAGATGCAGATGGCTTTATAGTTGACGGTTATCCAAGAACAGAAAGCCAGTATTCAGATCTTAAAAACGCATGTAAGATATCTTTTAATTGATGTTAGATATTAGAACGACCTGTGTTAATTTTGAGAGTCAGAAGTCCTTCATGCTAACAAGATAGTTTCCATCACGAATCGTTGTAATATAAGGAACCAGCAGGAATATTGGTATAGTGGACAGCTCTCATGTATTAGTCTGGCACTACTCAACCGTTAACACTTACCATCATCTCATAACGGGTCGAACCAAGGACTGTCACATGATCCCCCACGACTGGTCTCAGTCACTAATTATCCCAGTCTTCAAGAAAGGTGAAGAGTCTTTTGGTGATAACCACACAGGAACCAGCCTGATGAATATCCCATCTAAGATTTTAGGTTTCATAATCATCAGATGTCTGAGTGGAGCTCTGGACTTGGACTCCATCTATCGAGAAGTTTTATGGCAATGTCTTTCATTAAAAGGGTTGCCCAGTAAGCATATCACTCTGTTCAGTGCTCTTTACTCGAACACATGTGGGCGTGTTAAAGCCTGTAGTGAGATATTGGGTGAGTTGTGTAAGTCGAGTGATGTCTATCAAGGATGCCTACTCTCTCCATTCTTACTCAATTTTACTACTCATGAAGGTCTCCCTCTCGTCATCTGACCTAGAATACGCAGATGACATAGTTCTGTTAGGTGAAGATGCTGACAAGACTCTGAACACATCGAGTGGCAATTTAAGAATGTTTGGGATGCGTTTCTCGTCACCCGAATGCAGATTGTTGCTCCAGGACTGGTCTTCAACAATACTCTAATTAACAATAGAAAACGATGTCGTTGAGCTCGTTGAACACCACTTATCTGGGAAGTCGGACCAGCCCTGGTGGGTCAGTGGCCGATAAAATCTATGTACGGATACAAATGGCTCGGTTGGCTTTTGCCAACTTACGCTTTCTGTGGTGTCACTACGATATCCGATTGTGTATCGCAGATCAGGTGTACCGTGCTGCAGTTAGCTCTTTCCTACTGTGAAACACGGCCATTAAAGGTGGAAGACATGAGAAGGCTTCAGGTGTTTGGTCACCGCTACCTTCGTAGCATAGACTGTAATTTGTGGTATCACCACGTGAGTAACGCAGAAGTCAGATATATGTTTTTAGGTAGGGGAGGTAAGATAGTCGATGTGGTTACGAACCTTCGTCGACTGAGATGGCTGGGTCATGTGTTACGTATGCTTAACAACCGTCTGCCTCATGGTACAATGTTAGCCGAAGCAGGTTCAGGCTGAAAAAAGGCTTGGAGCGGCCAGACTAAAACATGGCATCAATGCATGAATTCATGTAGAGCCATGCAGAGCGATGCAGACTTGGCGTTTGAGGTCTGTGGGACTTAATCTCATCATTTCTTCCGTTCTCTCGTTTACTACTTCTACTTATTTGACCACTTTTCTTTCCCTCTTCATCTTCCACTTATTATCTTGTTAGTTGATGTGCTGATGTGAGCTGTGACAACTCGGACCGTTATGCAGTAATGCCTGATCCTATATTGACATTGATGATTATGATGATATTCGATGACAAATACGCTGCTATTTAAACAAATGATGAAATGCATTGGTTGAGATTTTCTTGCCTCTTTCAATTCACTGTGTAGTGCAACCATCTTCCATCAGTCGCGAAGGAAATCATAGTTAGTCCAGTGATGGTTACTTGGTGAATGCATACAGAATAAGGCATCATTTCTCAGGTTTAAGGCGATAAGTTATTATCTGTAGTATACTACAAAAGCTACGCACAATAACAAAACTGAATAAGCCTTATCTTCACCTAAAGTGTAAGTAGAAATGACAAAGTCACTGAAAAACTGGGAGAACTGAGGAAAACTTCAGTACTGCACATCTGTATGATTTAGCGAGGGGTCGAACCAAAATCGTTGGGTCTTGTGAGAAACAGATAGATTACCGTTTAGTCTTTGGGTTGGAATCCAAAATAAGACTAAATAGCTGTTCATTGCTAACAATTTGCGGTTAGAGCTACCTTGAAATAAACAAATCAATACAGACGAATTACTTTAATATTTGCTGAAACGAAGTAAGCATTGCTAATAAATATGAACTGATTCAAGATTGTTCGCACTGTTTTAAACAGATTATGTGTAGAAATTACATTTGATAGGGTAGGTCAAATATCTGGTGGATACTATGAAACTAATCTAAAGCGTAAGTGAAAGCCTAACTTGCTTATTCTTATTTGTGATTTAATTCATTTTATTAGCTAATTTCGATAACGTTATTGGAAGACGAAGATTATTTGAACAATGTATGTGTATGATGTTACATTGTCTCAACAATGATAAGTTGAGCTTCATAGTGTGTTTTACTGAATACCAGACTTTAATCTCTATTTTAATACCATACTACTCGTTTACCCTCTGTAATAATAATTTAGGAAATATATCCATCTTAGGGACCAAGGAAATTACTGGCTTCAGGGTTAACTGTCTTCTACAACGGTTCACACACTGTAATCGATATTCTTTTTCCATAAGTATGTCTGTCAGAAATTTCCTCTCATCATCCATTGTATCAGATGTACAAATAGGTTGGATCCTGTTAAATAAGCATCTTACTAAGCCTCTCTTATATTTCATCCGGCAAAGCTATAGTGACTCAAGTACTGTCCCGTCCAAATAAGCTTGTTATAGATTGATCGTCTGACAGATAAATTCTCCCTCCGATACAAAAGTATATAAAGAAATGCAAGTTGATGGTCATCTTCTTCCTCACATGTCAGATTATTATGGTCTTGTACGGTAATAAGCCTTTTCAAGAAACCCCTGTTAACCTCATCTGTGCCACATATTACAATGATATCATCAATATATCTTCTATAGAATGTGACATTACCAATCAAATCCTGAGCCATTAGAATATTAACTGTCTTCGTTAGGGGTACATTCGTAAATCAAGAGTTGACATCAAAGAAGCACATTTTCTTATCTCTGATATTCATATCAGTAAGATAGTCAACAAGTTTAAAAGTATCTTCCAGTGAATACTTACATAAATGACTACGAATCGGGCTCAGTATTTCGGCTGACCATTTCGTCAGTTTGTGTGTAGAAGACTGATACATTGACGATATTGGTCATAGCGGTTTATGAATTTTTGGAAGTTCATATAAATTTGAAAAATTAGATCCCATGGTTTTTTGGGGAGTTTAACTAGACTTGATGCTACACTTTTCCCTCCAATTTTCTAATATCCTCTGATGTTGTTAATTTTTGTCTGGTATTAATGATGAAGAGTCGATAGCGGTTAAGTCCAAAATGTGCATTTCAGCTGGTGGTTCTACCTGTCTCAGTGACTAATATTTTTCCCTCTAAGACTTGAAGTCAACACCCAGTGCATATGGAGTGGGTATCGTGACTCATTCACCTGGTGGATGTTCTATTAAAAGTTTGAAGCGTTGGCTGCTGCGTTTGAGTCACAGTGGGATCAACATCACTATCTGAAATGCAGATATATCAAGTTTATGAATCCGAAATTGAGAGAAATGCATGTTATTATGCTTTGTACGATAACCTTCAATACTCAATGATTCAATTGAAACTTAGATTTGGTTAGTATGAAAACTGACTTAGTTGAACAGTTAGCCAGGATGTGTGTATTTGTGTATGATTTACATTTCCTCATGATTAAATTAATCATCTAATTAAGAGGTAGTATTCATTACGGACTGACAGTTGAGGAACCATTGGAAATCTGGGAGTAATGGATAGCCAGCTGTTTCGTCCTAGTATGGGACTCCTTGGCAGTACGCACCCACAACTCACGACTTTCAGGTTTCATGGCGAACACGTTAACCATTCAGCCACTGGATCGGTTTTCAGTGGTTCACAGTTTCCAACTTCTGTCAGTTCACAGTGTAGTGCGACTATCACTCAAGGTCTCCAGTCTGCATCCGCTTCATTTCCGACCAGTTGACTTCACAGGTCACGGTTTCTCATTAGAATTTCTAAATTAAAAATCCCCATTCATCTCAAAAATACATTACTGTATAGTGCTCATTAGTGACATGCTTCCAGATGGATATCATGAAGCTCTAATGAGAAGCGGTGACCTTGGGGCCAACCAATCGGAAGGGAAGCGGATGCGAACTGGAGACCTTGAGTGATAGTCAAGCTATATCGTAAAATTGACAGAAGTTGGAAACTATGAACCACTAAAAACCAACCCAGTGGCTGAATGGTAACGTGTTTGCCATGAAACCTGAAGGTCGTGAGTTCGATCCCTAGCCGGGTCATGGGTACATAATGCCGAGGAGTCCCATAGTAGGATGAAACAGCCGGCTATCCATTGCTGCCAGGTTTCCAATGGTCCCTCAACTGATGTCAGTCCTTGAAGAATACTACGTCTAAATTGAAAATCCCCATTCATCTCAATAATCATCTAATTATCAAGATTTATCATATCCATATATTTGCAGTATTTGTAATTGCATCCAGAATTATTATTATTATTACTATTATTATTATTTGTCAATACTGGAAATCAATAGGTTGGTTTAGAAAGATTAGCGTGTGTTATTCTACTGGATGCCAGTGAAGAATTTTGTAGACAACATTTAAGTGAACAGATATCACAAGTTAGTGAAGATTATGAAAATAATAATGTACAACAAACAATTGAACATCGTTTGTGTTTATTCAAAACTCAAACATTGCCAACTTGTAAGCTCATTGATAATGATGAAAAACTTAGAGTTGTAAGTTTATAAAACAATTTTTATATTGCTTTTCTTTATTATTGCTTGTAATTTCATATTGTTCATTTAATTGAAGTGATCTATTGATAAATGGATGAGGTGTATGTGTGAAGCGATCAGTCACGAGTTTGGATCTCAGTGGGAACAATATCATAATGACCGAGCTGCCCGTGCACATGGGTTCATAGATTCCACAACTAGCAATTATTAGTGAACAGTGATCAAACAGAAATAATGGGTGCAAATCAGTTCAGTTCGATGCAGCGAACAGTATGAAATAGTCAGTGGTGCTGACCTTCACAAGAGATTCCTATCATGAGTTGGACGCCTCATGAAGTCGACTTGGCATTTGAAGCAATGAATGGGGGGGGAGGGAAGAGCGGGAACACCATCACTGACCGGAATGTGGCTGCATCCAGCTGTTGAGTCCAAAGTGGGATGAAATTTACATCCTAGCTAACTGTCCAATAAATCATATGGAAATAAAAGCATATTACACTCTTTACATTTATTCAAGTGATTGTTTGGTTTGATTATCATTATTATGAACATTCTGACTATCTGAGGTAACTTCGGTTTGGTAGACTAGTGATGACTGATGATGAAATGAAAATTTGGATTGCAGTGGGGATTTGAACCAGAGACCTCAAAGTTGCCGGCCCGATGCTGTACCAACTGAGCTACCAAGGGTTTTGACCGACTAATTTGTGAATTCGTGGAGCGTTACTACCGCTTGATTGTATTCACACTAGCTGCCTAGTCAGAACTATTTAATGCAATCCAAATCTAACTGAATTAGAGCTTACTATCTGAGACTGCCGTAGTTTGGCAGACTAGTATTGATACTGGCTGATGATGATTAAAGGTGGAATGAGAATTTGGACCGCGGCGGGATTATTATTATTATTGGGATATCATTCACACGAATATTTCGATGTGAAAATTATTTGTGTTCTACACACCTAATAGACACATTCAATTCTTATTGTCTTTATGATAAGCTGTGTACAAGAAATTTTGGCGACAGGAATATTTATTTGTATGCACATGCATGTGTGTGTGTGTGTGTACATACTTGTTTCCAATGGAAATAAGTCTACTCAAAGCGTAGCTGCATATATAGCATAAAGGTATATTTTTGGCGGGTTAATTTACTTATCTATCAAATGGTGAATGATATGAATCAAGTGGCATACTTCACTATTATCGAATGTATACAAAGTAATAAAGTTAGGTTATGTAAAACTCTTTAGGATTAAATAAATATTTCAGTAGTATGTAAGTGATAAACTGATACACCAACTAATTCAATTTAACTTAACAGTTAATGGAATTGTGGATTAAAGTTCAGTTTTCAATTGCCGTTAGAGAAACGGTGAAGAAAAACTGCCAAGAAGATCACTGATGATCGTCTGTTGATTTGAGCAATAAGGATTTTAATAGTCAATGTTGGGATAAAGAAGCAGTGCATTGGAATTTCAATTATCAACACATAAGATTGGTTATCTTCCAGTGACCTATAAATATGTCTAATTCCGTTCAATACGAAGCCAGATATGACTGGAAAAGTTCAATGGTAACGTCTTTGACTGCACCTTTAAGTGACTGGAATTCGAATCACTCCAAATGCCAATCAATTCCCTTCAAATGTTGTGGATATGCCTTGCTAACGAGTGTCAACAAGCACGAAAGCTAGATCACGGAAGGCTACTTGTTAATTGCCTCCAACCGACCAACAAACATCACGATGGGCAGTCTTTTAGCTTGGTGGTCATTTTGTAAAATGCTGAATAGAATTTAATCAAACAATATGATATTGCCTGCTATCCGGTTGATAAGTCGTTATCGAGGTCTTTTCATTCAAATGAACATGTCGCATTACTATTTTCTAGTTTTCTGAAGACTCCAGTCAGTTGGTATAAATATCTCCATTGACTAAGTCCAGGGGAATTGCTGTCCTATTTAGTTAGTTCGTTATATATTCATGTGGTAATTTGATTTCCTTACACCCAATTGCTGCTTTCATTAGCGTCTTTTGTTAAACTCGATGTAGCAAAAAGATATTTCCAAAATGTAGGTCTGCTGTCCTAAATGTTTAGATTTCCGGATGATATCGGTGAAGTAACATTACCTACATAAACTCAGGTTATTCAATAATTCTACTGTATGCCATTGATACTTCGACGGCACAGACGGACAGACGGAATCGAACTAGAACCTCACATGTGCTTTGACTCAAGTTGCTGCACTTCATAGTAGCGCATGCAAACAACAGGTGGATAGAAGAGGAATGATATCAAAGTATATAGAGTGGTATGACAGAACAAACAACTTGAAGATAACGGCTAGTGCGAATATTCAAGCTTTAAAAATATCAATGAGTGGATGCATCTGCGCCCTTGCAACTGGTTTTCAACCATGTCAACAAGATTTATCAACCATTTGTTCCCTTCATCACGGTGATCCAAACAACATAGTCTATTTCTCCTTATACGGGCCAAATCAACAGTCAGAGACTTCATCAGCTGGTGCCACCTCTTGGTTCGGCCTAATAGAACTTTCTTCCAACCTAATCCAGTTTCAGCTGGCGTGGCACGTCGATGTACGCGGTGGATAGGCATATGCAACAAATATCCAAGCCACTTCAGACTGTGAGTGTTTACAATCCCATCAGTCTACTTGCCTGTCGTCTTGCCTAGTACTCTTCGCTTGACCTCAACATTGCTCACACAATAATCCCATCAGACGCGAGCAATGTTACGAAGACACTTGTGATCATAATCCTGTCATCACTTCGTATCTTCTACTTTCAAAGGTCATGTCTTACAACCGTATAACAGGATAAAATAAACTGCAGCTCAGTATACTCGTCCTTTGATTGGTTTTTGGATATCTCATCTATACAGAGCATTGCTCTTCAGGTGTCTCTAAAAGTTATCCACACGAAGTGAACATCCATTAAGACCAACCAGTAATTCGTTATACAAAGATGCATGGGAAAAACTTGCCAGTAGATAGTGAACAAGTAATACAAATTAATACGGCAACTTAAGAATGGTATGAATACCATAAATCATGTACCTTCAGCTAGATAAACCCATTACAACTGTGTATAGGTCACTACAAGTATCGACAATCATTTAATTGTAGGTTAACTTTCTTATATATTCAGTCGACATAACAGTCAACAAGGAACTGTTATCATAAACTCACCTTTTTCGTAATAAGATATCTAGTCAATATTCAAAAGTGGATGTATTCTAAGGTATCACTAACCAACAGTTTAGTAACGCAAATGTACCTGATTAAGCAGTTAAGTTGTCAATCATTCAACTACCATTGTATATCCAGTAAGACTCTAAAAGACTATTTTTCATTTGCCACATGAGAAATGCAGTTCAACTCTCTTCAAGTGTCGATAGAAGATGGACAAAAGAAGTTAGAGTTTTTTCGGATATTATGTCACGAAAAAACTTACATTAGATCTTAGAATCTTATAGTTATGCATAATTTCTTCAGAAGTGATATGGAGGAAAAGTCACGTTGAAACACACTTCTTCATACCATTGTACGGAAACAATGTGAACACTGTATACGCACTGTGGTGGTTATATGGTGTCGATGAGGTTATGAACCTTCATGCTGCAGACATCAAGTTACTCCCTACACCAACGTTCAATATTAACTGGAGAAGGATTGATTTAAAAGAAAGTTCGATGTGGCACCATTGCATCAAGTCTCAGACTGTTAGTCTGAGCAATGTTGGAGTTCTCGAGACGATGGGAATCAGTGACTGAAGACTCCTAGTTATATGATTGAAAATTAGTTTGAACATCTTCCTTAACCTTCATTTTTCAGATAAAGCTGAATTTAATAGTATTTAGAAATCTGTATAATGCGTTACAGCATGTGTTCATGTTAGCCCGATAACCTGGTTGTATAATCTATCTTGTCATCTATAAGGAAAGTAAGTAAGGTTTATTTGTACTATAGTATATATGACTCTCTTAAGGTAGCTAAAATGCCTCATTACCTTATTATTGACATGAGTATTTTGAGCTACTAGCCGAATGCCTAATCGATAGCATACATTTAAGCCCTCCACTCGAAATCATGCAGCTGTATAAGCGCTTACAGTCATGCTCAGCATTCTTCTAACGCAATTTAACTTGGCCCAGTATCACACGTCAAGATGAGTAATGGTTGAGTGTGCGCAACACAGGTCTACGTTACCTCCCTCAGTGAATATTCCTAGCTACATCGATTGACTTAACTCAACACTGTTTACATGATCACTATATCAAATATAAGGGGTGGCCAATACAGAGTTGTCATCAGAATTGACAACAAATAACTGTGTTTGCCAGCGATGCCCGCTGTCATAATTCCTATCTAATTTCATCATATCCTTAGGTACATCTGACTTGAAAGGGCTTGAGCTACTCCCTGATGGTCATCTGGTTGTCTTGGAGTATGCAAACGATATTGTCCTGCCAACTGAAGATGCTGAAGGGGTTGAGCAGAAATTTGTATGTGTTAGGCATGCGTTTCGCCAGTACTTGTCAAATGTAAGCTGACGCTCCAGGACTGGTCCTCTGCGAGTACTCCCCAGCTTTATGATAGGTAGGCAAGTGGTGGAATGCATCGAACACATCACGTGAGCGAGTTGGTTGCTGACGAAATCTCAGCTCGGATACAGAAGACTCATTTGGCATTCGCCAACTAGCGTCATCTCTAGCACCGACTGGCGAGATATCTGATTATTTGTCAAAGGAAGAGTATACTACACGGAAGTTCGTTCCATCCTATCGAAGCAATTACAGGGTTTTGATCACAGATGTTTTCGTAACATTACTAGCGTTCGATGGAATTGTTGTGTGAGCAACGTTGAAGTCAGGCGAAGAGTACTGGGAAAGACGACAGGTAAGTCGATTGATGAGGTTGCAAACCTTAATCGACTGAGATGGCCTGGACATGTACTGCACATCCCGAGTTACCACCTACCTCGACGTGGCATACTGGGGTAATTTGGATTAGATTGAAGGAGAGTTGAAAGTAGCGCGGCCGAGACGTGTCATCAGTCTATGGGTCCCTAATTAATTGCTCTGAGGAGCGCTTGGAGTTCTAGACAGTCTTGTTGGAGTCCCTAAGAAGTAAAGAATCAATGATTACTGACTATTGGTGACATGGATAGGAACCAGTCACGATGTTGCAGATGTATACACCCTTTTGACTTCTTCTAAAGCGTGAATATTCGCGCTTATCGTTATATTCACATTGTTTATTCTCTCAGACAACTTTGTCCACTTTGATATCAGTCGTTTTCTGTCCGTTTGTTATTTGCATGACTACTGTGAAGTGTGACCATTCCAACAAATGCACTTGTGTGCAAAGTTCTACGTTGATTTTGTGTCTGCGTTATACCTATGTCACTTAATTTTAAGCTATTTGGGACAGCAGTTGGAGGTATGGACCATTGGATTCCGACCCAGTGGCTCAACGGTTAACGGGCTGACCATGGAACCTGAAGGTCGCGAGTCCCATCCCTGGTGGGGTTGTAGGTGCGCACTGCTGAAGAGTTCCTTACTAGGACGAAATAGCTGTCAAGTGCTCCCAGGTTTCCATTGTTCCTCCAATTGATGGCGGTTTACGATGAATACCAACTTGAAATACTTGAAACAGTTATTCTCTTTTATGAATTTCGATAGCGTAATTAGAAGACGAAGCTTATCCGAAACGATGTGTGTGATGTATTGGTGCAATACATTCCGAACAATTTGATCCTACATACATTTACTTGTCAAATATATATATATATATATTAAACCGAGGAGTGAGGGGACAAATACAGCAAGTTACACAATAGGGGGATTAAAATTAAGAAAGATGAAAACAAACAGGAAGAGTGACCTAGTTAAACCTAATCTTGTTAAGAAATCAAAGTTTACCAAACAAGGTATGTGTAGTGTGTAAGAACAAATTGGCTATGGCTCCCATAAATCTCAGAATAAATTTCCTGACTGTTTCTATATAAAACTTTGAAAGCTGTTTGAACATTAACTTTGTGACTTGTTTCGATGATATGTTTAGCTATAGATGAAGAGAGTCGTCTCTCATCAGTGTTTATCAGGGTTTCACACTTCATTTGTTTTTTCAAGCCATTTAGGTACATGTTCTCGCACTCGATTACTCCCCTTTATGTATGTGTGACCAAACACACACACATGTAAATTGGTAAACACAATAGGATGTGTTTAGGTTTTTGGTGAAGCATGTGTTTTGATTTTTCTAAAATGATAAGGTTTGTCGCGTAATATATTTTTTTAATGGCAGATGACAGAAAACGTATAAAAATGATGCTGTTCAACTCTATGGTAAAGGGATATCATTTTGTTAAAATTAATGCTACATATACCGATACGTTACAATATTCTTCCATGATGCTTGATCATAAATAATTTTGTTAATATTGCTTACAAGGTCGATGGAGAATCGAAACCGGATGTGATTGCTAATGATATTTTAAAGATATGCCAATGTGTTCTGTCTGGTAAAATGAATGGTAAGTTAGCTACTGTTATTATTCCTTACTTCGAGATTTGTTCACAGTTTCATCTTGTGCGTCAATTTCTACTAGCTATGTGGTTATAAGACATGATTAATAAAGGATGAAAGGAATGATGCGAAAGTTCTCAGTGTTTGTGATGTGGATATTTTATAAGCACTGCTATAGTTCACTTGATAATAGAAGACTACACAGTTTATTAGACAGGATAGTTAATGAGGTCTTGGAATCTCTTTGAATTGACATTGTTACGTCATGTGTAAAGTCTGTCTACTCACAGAATTACTACGATGTATTACTGTCAGTTGATGAAAACTTATTCTAGGCGAAGGTCAAGATGAATCAACAGAAAAAAATATGTGGATAATTCATTTACTCTTAGTTCAAAATTCCTAGCCAAGAGTTAGTTTCTTCTTCTGTATGTTCGAATTGCAAAGAATCATTGCTTTAAGATTCTGTTCGAACACCGGAATACACCCATTTGATCATAGGAAGAGACAAGACGTGGTATGTGATGAAAATATGAATCTTGCAAACTTGCTCCATACCTTCAACAACTCCCACCCTTCAATCAAGTTCACTCTAGAATCAGAATCGAACTCAACCTTCCATTTTCTTGATGTTCAACTCCAAAGAAAAAACCATAATTCACTTTGTCGATCGGTTTAAAGAAAGCCTGCTTGGAACGGACAATTTGTTAATTTTCAAAGTTTAGTCCCTCTATACAGGAAGCGACAGTCAAAATCCTTAAACACAACATATTTCGCCACCAACCTTTGGATTATTTTCTCCTTCAAGAAACGTTTTGGTCAATGTGTGAAAACAAGCTCACCCACTGGGCCATATCAGTGTGTGTATACCAGTTTATTTGCTCTTGTGGAGGTGAGTAAATCGTCCGTATCATGCGTCCGCTCGTAAAACGTGCCCGTGAACACTACACAGGCTGACTGGTAAAGGGAGAATGGGAATGTATCTTCAGTTCATATACAGAACACCTCGTGAACCCAAACCACTTGGATTTTTTTGACAGCTCATTCAAGATTCTCTACAGGGTTCGATCAAACCACTCGAAGAAAGTAAGATCAAGGCATTTGTTTATAGCTGAAGCACTAGCCTTCTAGAAGTTCAAGCCAGCGTTATGCGTCCAATAAAGGTATATCCTACATTTTTTTTGCCATGGCCATCATAAAAGCTTGAGTGTCATAGATTCATTCTGTTTTAGGTAACTATACATGTATTTCCTTCATCACTGGTTCATTTTCAACTCTGTCACAGGTTTAAACGGTGATACATAACTGCCATTTTACTTTCATAATCCTTTGTCTATTTTCCCACTCTAAACCCAAATGTATAGAAGTAATTCGGTAGCTGCTTCAATACTACGGTTTCAGTACCACAAACCTTGATCAACCTCATTCCAGAACTATATGATGAGGTGATTCTACATGTCAAGTGATTCACAACACAATGGAGAGCCCACTGAAGAGATTGAAGTGAGCACACGAAGGAGTAAGACAAGGTTGCCGCCTCCTATCACACATGAACTTCCTGATTATCGTCAATTGGACTGGACTGAATTACGCGAGAAACTGTGACGAGCTGTGAGAAGATGGGCATACGCTGGCTGCACCGATGAAAAGACCTTAGAACATTTGGATTTCACCGATGATTATTTATGTCTAATGTCTCGTCACACAAACTCGAAGACCTAAAGGCGAAAACTAACAGGTTGGCATAACAGTCATGCCAGCGAAGATGGGATTTCAGCTGAAAGTAGAGAAGACAAGACAGGCGTTCATCAATCTGAAACCAGTGTGGAGATCTACTGCACTCCACTCAGCATAAACAACAACATCCTGATTTTCAACACTAATGTCAGTCAAGCAACTCAGTGCTTCCATGTGATGGTTGAGAGACTCGACGCGTCACGAAAAGCACTTACAACAAACGGCAGACATGCATCACATCAACAGCTGCCACCCACGCTCACTCGACACTGAAGATCAGATCAGATGACCAGAGAGAATAAGCTCAAGGATCTCACTCTGTCTGGAAACGAACCAACCAACCAACCAACCAACCAAGAACCTATCACCCAACAAAAGTAGGAAGAAGAAGAAGAAGAAGAAGAAGAGGGTGGAGGTGGATTGGATCAGATTGGATTTGACATAGACTGAGAAGACCACTTAGTGACATCACGCGTCAGGTCAGGCTGTAGAGTGGAAGCCGAATGGGAAATGAGGAGATGGGTGTTGGAGGCGAGAGTGACATGTAGGAGATATTGTGAGGAAGAAATGGGAGTTTTGTGGACAGTTGTGGATCTAGGTTGAAAAGAGTGTAGAGAAGAGAGTGAAATGGTGACATGCTAGTGAAGCCGTCTGTTTCACTAGTAACGCAAGGGACAAATAATATTAATAAACCCAAATGTGTATTAATTAACTTCCTTTAGTTATTCAGTATATTTTACCCTCTAATCGGAAATTATTCTGCAACGTTCTGCCCAAAGTAGCAAATATTCATGAATGTACAGCTTAGTAGTAAATAAGTTTGTCAAAATGAAACAATTTCTCTTCACAGAAACTACGTTTCGTCTTTTCCTAAAATCTCAGTTTCTCAATGAAAATCATTCCCAACACGCACGCTCACTATAAAGTGAAAATGAATTCTATTCACTTCCATGATGAAAGTTATACAAGTAAAGTCTATCGAAAGTAGAAGGGGAGATGAAAAATTTGAGGAACATTAGCTTAGTAAAATGTTACTCATGTTAGCGAACAAAAATAAAAGTTAAAAGAATATGATAAAATTATCTCATATTATTAAGGGTGAGGAGATATCTGCATGCAGTGCGAAAGTTGGAATTTAGGTTGTTAGGGAGTAGGATGCTAAGGAGTTGATTAGTTGTAGTGGTAACACAGCTTTCTCCTGAAAACATAACTGAAATTGTTTAGTTCAAATTGCTACCTGTTCTGCTAATCGACGGATCGACAGTCAGGTAGTTTTTAGCAAGTTGATAGAATCCTGGTAGATAATGGAAAATAGAGCTGTTAATGATTTTTATCACACTTTCGACTAACCACACTGACTAAATGGCTGAGAAAATCAATGTAGAACCTTGAACACAGATACATTGACTCAAGTTTACACAAGTGATGAACAGGAAAAGAGTGATATCAAAGTAGACAAGGTTTTGTAAGGGAACTAACAATTTGATGATGACGGTTGGTGGAGAAATATTCAAGCTTTAGATGTGAAGGAGTGAATATGTCTGCACCACTGTGAATGATTTTAAGCAGTGTCGCCAAGAGTTCTCAACCACTGATCTATGTTATCTCAGGGACCTTAGCTACGCAGTTTACAGGGTTCAGACCAATAGTCAGGGACTCCATAGATTGCTACCACGTCTTCGTCTGACCACCCTGAATTCTCTTCCAATAAAATCCAGCTTCCTCTAGCATGGCACGTCAACGTATGCGATGGATCAGGATGCAAAACACTTTTCCAAATCATCTCGGTTGACTTATTTGTCTTGCCTAGTATCCTTCACCTGACTTCAACATTACTCACATGGAGATTTCACTGAAGACAAGAAATGCTACAAAAACACCTGTAATCGACAACTTGTAACCGCTTCGATATTAGATATGTTTATTTGATTTATAACACATAGTGATATAGTATTATTTACTTGATGACGTTTTGAACATAAATTATCATTGCTCATAATCACATCAATGTAAACAATTTGATAATTTATGAATGAACACAAAAATAAATCTATTTGGATGAGCTTCTCTTAGAAAGTTCTGTTTGTTACTTATTTTTACAAACTGTAGTATACACAGAGTAGACTATTGAGTATTTCTGAATATTTAGTTCATTAGTATATTGCTGATAAGGTTATCATAGGTATATGAAAAAGTGTTAATTTATGCTTTTTGAAATGAAAACTTTCTGGGAATATAAGCAGTGATTCCAGGAGGTATCGAACTGTACTATTACTCATCTTGATAGTGGTAATGATAATAAGGGTCAGACTGTTTGAGGTGAGTTGTGTTATTGTTTTGAAAAAAAAGTTGCAGATAAAAGAAATTAGTGTCTCCATCCACTTCTCAGGCTACTATTATTCCTTGAAGACATATCACACACTAAATCATGAAATAAAAAATAATTTTTAGGTTGAAATTCATCATTGACTAATATCAGTTGGAGGAACGTTAGAAAGCTGGGAGCATTGGACAGCTGTTTTATCCCTCTGTTATGGGACATCCGAGCAGTGCGCATCCATGATTCCACCTCATGAGGGACCGAACCTAGGACCTTAAGTTTCCAAGGACAGCATGTTACCATTGAGCTGTTGGGTGGGAATCCAGTGCTTCATATTTCCTACTTCTATGAGTTCATGATATATGCCGACCTACATCGAATGTCGTGCTATCTATGGAACCTTAAGGTCCTGAGTTTGATCCCTGGTGGGGTCATGGGTACGCACTGCTGAGGAGTCCCGTGCAAGTGAGACGAAACACCTGTCCAGTGCTCCCAGCTTTCCAACGTTCCTCCAGCTGATATCAATCCATGATGAATTCTAACCTAAAAAGACATATGTATGTTCTCAGAAACAGTTACCTATCAGTGGAACAATGCGTCATTAGTTTAGTCACTTAACTTTCGACCGATGGGCCATAGGTTCGAATCCTGCTTCACCTATTGAAGTTTAGGCAGCCAGACAGTATCGTTCGCTCTCACATAATGAATTTGGTTCATTGCTTACTGAATGAACATATATTTGGCTGTAGAGTGTATTTCAAGCCTTAAACTTAAAGATTTCCCATTCATTTATCTAGCAGGAAGCCAAAATTCAAACGGTATTCTAGGTGAAAAACAGTCAGAAACTAGTCAGAGTTCAAGATGTTTGTTTGTGTGTGTGTGAGAATGTAACTATCTATTGGTATACTTTTCTAAAATTTTTGCTCGTAAGCGCCAATCGATTGTTGAAGTATGCTGTACCTAGAGATATGAAAACTGTGTAAATCAGGCCCATAATATGGTCGGTTTTTTTTTTTTACCTTCAACTTCTTTCCTTTTGCATTCACAAGAACAATTTTACTACTCTTTGTGGTTGATTAGATAAATACATAACGGAACTTGGTTTAATTATATCCGAAATCACTCGTACACTATACTGGAAACTCTAATCAATTTACCTGTTATTATCGGATGAATATCTATTAAGAACGATTATTATAATCAATTGATCAACACATCTACTGATGATTTTCTCAGTCATACTCTAAACTTGATTGCGACTTTACAAAGATAATTTTTTACCTCACTTTTTTGTAGGGATTTATTGATTTCAATTTAGTATACATCATGCAGTGATATCAATTGAGGAACCAATAAAAGAAACCTGGGAACACTGGACAACTGTTTCGTCCCTCAACAATGCACACCTATGGTTGCTGCAGGGGTTGAACCCAAAACCTTCACTTCAGGTTCTATGATCATCACATCGCCGTCTAGCCATCGAATAGGTTGGAAGTTCAGTGGTTTATATTCTTCTACTTCTGTTAATTTGCGATATTATTATTATGATTAATAACCAGTTTGTTAAAGGTTCCGATATGATGCAAATTTTGCACTATTGAATCATTCAACTTACAAAATAGAGGAAATGACGTTCAGATGATGAAACTCATATATACTTAAAAATATTCACTCCTCAAATGAATTCTTTGGATAAAGTTCTATAAATGTATACATATATAGGACTTGAATAGTTAATCACAGTTGCACTGGAGCCGGTTCTTTTAAAGGAACTGAAACCTAATGTGTATCTACATTTGAATAAAATGCATTTCAACGAATTATTTTACTTTGTTGTCTCTGCCTGTCTATCGTCTACTTATTTATAGAGTACTAGTAGTGGTGATACTGGGTGATGATTGGAGGTGAAATGAAAATTTGAACCGTGCCAGTATTCGAACCAAGCTACCAGAGTGTTTCCGACCCAATGCTCTACCAACTCAGCTACAGGGTCCAACTACTGACCAGATTTTTTAAATTTCACTTCAATCACCATAGGTTTTGCCCGATTAACGTGTGAACTCGTGATGTGTTACTACTACTTGATTGTATTCTTATTGGCTGTTTAGTGAGGGCTTCTTATCCCAATCCAAATCTAACTGAATTTGAGAAGGGCAGCATCATATTAATCATCATTTTGACGATCTGAGATAGTCATGATTTGGTAGAAGAGTATTGATACTGGGTAGTGATTGAAGGTGAAATGAAAATTTGGACCGCGGCTTCAAACTTAGTGGTCAACTGAGGAGATGTAGACTGCCTAGTTGGAGGTACCTGAGATGAAAGGAATCAGTAGTTGAGGACTGACACTTGATGGTGATATGCTTAAAAATCGGTCACAATGGTGCAGATGTATTCATTCCTTGACATCTTCCAAAGTTTGAATATTCATACCAACTATTATCCTCAGATTGCTTAATCTCTTACACAACTTTGTCTACTTTGATATCACTCCTTTCTCTAGCCACTTGTCCTCTGTGTACTTTTATGAAGTGTGAAAACTTGAGGCAATACACCTGTTTGTGAGATTCTACATTGATTTTGTCAATTAGTCAGTCGTTTTGTTTCATTATATAAAATCAGTTATTCTCGTTGCAGGTGTTAGAGCACACCAGTTACAACTGTGATTTTCTTCATCAGTTTCTGATACTTATGCATATTGTATATCAGTGTGTAAGAAGACATGTCTGGTGTACTTGTAGTTATGGTTTATTAACCCTATATTTATATATATATTTGTTTCTACGAAACAGAACCAGAAGGACATCCATCATCAGGTAGTTTACCTAATCGGCAAATACCGCCTGTACAGCATGGTATGATGGGATGTGATGATAAAACAGGTGTATTCAATCTTCCACGAATTATACCAGTATTTCCGGATAATGGCCGGATCCATGATCTTCATAATTGTCTAATAATTTTACTATTTGGTAAGTTGTAAATTAATATAGTGCCTGTTTTCCCTTTTTTTTTATTATCATGTTATGAGCTTGACAATAACAAATCTTGATAGAATTTTGTAACCCATGTATATTATGCTGTTGATTGATGACGTCTTACTGACTTGGAAAATATTTTCATCACCAATCTTTTTCTGTATAACTTTCAACTACATTTCTTTTAGAAAAAGACTGACTGAACGAAGAAATATATACGCCTTTTCAATTGGGTCTTCATCTTCGTACTACACTAATATATAGTTTTACAATTTAATCAAATTACCAAACACATGGTGACTTTTTAGAAACAATGATATATATAATCAATTATTAATATTATTTGTCCCTTGCGTTACTAGTGAAACAGACGGCTTCACTAGCATGTCACCATTTCACTCTCTTCTCTACACTCTTTTCAACCTAGATCCACAACTGTCCACAAAACTCCCATTTCTTCCTCACAATATCTCCTACATGTCACTCTCGCCTCCAACACCCATCTCCTCATTTCCCATTCGGCTTCCACTCTACAGCCTGACCTGACGCGTGATGTCACTAAGTGGTCTTCTCAGTCTATGTCAAATCCAATCTGATCCAATCCACCTCCACCCTCTTCTTCTTCTTCTTCTTCTTCTTCTTCCTACTTTTGTTGGGTGATAGGTTCTTGGTTGGTTGGTTGGTTGGTTGGTTCGTTTCCAGACAGAGTGAGATCCTTGAGCTTATTCTCTCTGGTCATCTGATCTGATCTTCAGTGTCGAGTGAGCGTGGGTGGCAGCTGTTGATGTGATGCATGTCTGCCGTTTGTTGTAAGTGCTTTTCGTGACGCGTCGAGTCTCTCAACCATCACATGGAAGCACTGAGTTGCTTGACTGACATTAGTGTTGAAAATCAGGATGTTGTTGTTTATGCTGAGTGGAGTGCAGTAGATCTCCACACTGGTTTCAGATTGATGAACGCCTGTCTTGTCTTCTCTACTTTCAGCTGAAATCCCATCTTCGCTGGCATGACTGTTATGCCAACCTGTTAGTTTTCGCCTTTAGGTCTTCGAGTTTGTGTGACGAGACATTAGACATAAATAATCATCGGTGAAATCCAAATGTTCTAAGGTCTTTTCATCGGTGCAGCCAGCGTATGCCCATCTTCTCACAGCTCGTCACAGTTTCTCGCGTAATTCAGTCCAGTCCAATTGACGATAATCAGGAAGTTCATGTGTGATAGGAGGCGGCAACCTTGTCTTACTCCTTCGTGTGCTCACTTCAAACTCTTCAGTGGGCTCTCCATTGTGTTGTGAATCACTTGACATGTAGAATCACCTCATCATATAGTTCTGGAATGAGGTTGATCAAGGTTTGTGGTACTTGAACCATATTTTTGAAGTAATTGCCAAATTACTGCTTGGTTGAGGCTGTCGAAGGCCTTTTGAAAATCGATGAAGTTGAGGTAGAGAGTTGACTAGCATTGTATTCTCTGTTCTACGATGATGTACGGCGTAGCGTTGCAATTTGATCCGCATATTATTTGTTCTTCCTAATTCCAGCCAGCCTGTTACGGTCGTAATTTTGCATCCAGATCATTTTTAGTCTCTCCAGCATGATGCGGCTTGATATTTTGCTTAGGGTGGACAGGAGTGGAGCATGATTTCGCGCCAGTTCATCATGGACTGAAATTAGTTGGAAGGACATTAGAGACCTAGAAGCACTGGACAGCTGTTTCGTCCCTCTTGTATGGGACACCTCAGAAGTGCGCATCCATAATCCCACTGCACCACGAATCAAACCCAACACCTTTAGGTTCCGTTACCAGCAAGTAACCATTGAGCCACTGGGTCGGAACATATACACTGCCAAGGTGCCCCGATTGTACGCTTAATTTCACGGAAATGTTTGATGGTGGCTACTACCGTGGCACTCCACCACCAACCTCGACTTGCATTTCTAGGGTAAGTTGGATTAGGTTGCAAGAGGGTTCAGGGTGGTCAGATCAGTTGATGAAGTCTCTGACTATCGGTCGGTTTCATATACGGCGATATAAAGTTGAAAGTCGGACAAAGTGGCACAGATGTATTCACTCCTTGACATCTAAAGCTTGAATATTTACACTAACCTTCATCTTCAGATTGCTTATTCTCTCTCACTACTTTAACTACTTTGAAATCACTACTTTGGTATCTACCTGTTCATTGCATGCGCTACTGTGAAGTGTAGCAACTTGAGTCGACGCAATTGTGTGCAAAGTTCTACGTTGATTTTATCAGTCAGTTAGTCAAGCCGCTGTCTAATTCTCGTAGTCATCATACTCTAGCTAGTGCAGATAAAATCAACTGTAATCTTCCCCTTGGGAATTTTAAGTGTCACTTTTTCTGCTTTGTCTTCTTGATCCATTCTAGATATCATATTTTCAGTTATTTCCCATTTTTGTTTCTGGCTAGTGTAACTATGTTAAATGTCTCGTTTTTGTACAAACTTCTGCATTATTCATTTTTCTATTGGCAGGTGGTCCAGGCTCTGGACGAACTGAACAAGCCTCAGCATTATGCAAAAAGCTGCCTGGTGTAAAACATTTCAATGTTACTGATTATTTAAGGCAACATGTCTTAGACTTAATCGATGAAGACAGTGGTAAGGACCTGGAGGTAATTGCTCATCGAATTCAATCAAGTGATCCACCAACTGATCAGGTAATTGAATTTTCATTTACTTTTTTTGACCAATAAATAAATTTAAACATCGTAATGTGAAGATGAAGATAATCTGAAACATGTTTGGCGTTTTACCACCATACATTTCGAACACTGTGATCACATATGCACTCGTCGAACTATTTACCATATAAAAATTTACTAAAAGGGTCAATGAAGTCAATAGGAAACATAGGGGTAGGAAGGGTAGAGAACACAATAAAATCTAAATCTCATCACTGTTGGTATGAAAATTAAAATCAGTACTACTAAGGTAGTTTCAACGTGAGTACAAATTGTTTCTGTATAGATAAAAGGGGTTTTCATTTACGGATGTTAAGAACTTTAATAAATTTCAGCACTCAGCCCCGATCACTTTTATTTAATACTTTAAAAGCTATTTTCATATCTACCATGTGGTTAGTTTCTAGTATATGTTTAGCAATAGATGACGATGGACGTTTATCACCTGTAATTATCGGTTCTGTTGAAGTCATTTGCTTTTAAAGCTAGTTAGGTACATGTCCAACCATCCTTAACTTCATATCACGATTACGCCTCCCTATGTGCAAACACAGTGACATGTAATGCAGTTATTTATACATTGTTTTGGTTTGTGTTGGTTGTGTTCTCTATAATGAGGACCTTGACTCCATAATATATTTTTCAGATGGCTAATCTAAGCCTTTTCCTCACAATCAAGTTATGTGAATCACCTCTAAATGGTAGTGAGATGCAAACATTTTTCTTAGCAACGGAATACTGTACTTTCCACTAGTACATAACTTTTGCACCTGTTGATAAGTTTCAATGGGTAGCCATTCTGTATTAGTGTTGCAGTTAGTAAGTTGGTTTCTTCCTCTTTCGTGTCATCGGTGCAGATGCGATTCACCCTATTCCCATATTTCCTATTGACTTCATTGACTCATTGACCCTTTGTTTAAATTTTTATGTGGTAAATAGTTCGAGAAGTCCATGTGTGATCAAATTGTTCGAAATGCATGGCGCTAATACATCAAACATGTTTTAGATAATCTTCATCTTCTCATTCGCTGTTTAAATTTATCAAAGGGGCTAGTTCCTTCAACAAATAGCCACAAACATTTCGTACGATTGTTTCCTTTTATAAATTTATATAGAGCGAGAACAGCAACTTTAGTAGAATAGCGGCAAACCACTTTATTTAGCGGTTTCTTATCAGCTGCTCAAAATCTAAAACAGTATTAGAATAATCTCATACAAAACGTTTGCAGACTCGGATAAGTTTGATAGGAAATTGTCTGCTTTAATTTAAGATAACATCGATGTGACGTAGTTGAAAACGATACAAGGAATGAGGGAATAAATATGCCAAAACACAAAAGGTGTGGACTAATATTCTAGAGTGGAAGTTGGACAAGAAGGCGAAACAGATGTATTCGACAAATTAGGAAAGGTTACACGGAATGCATAAAAGAAGGTCATAACATTTATGCTAACTAAGCTCTAATGTGAGTAGAATTCAGATAATTATGTCGAGTGTGAAATGAAAAATAACAAGAAGAAGCAATTGACTTGTTTAAATTGACAATGATTGTCCACAAAACAAAAGTCTTTACGATGATGGACACAGCTTAGTAGCCGGTTTCATTCTGAACAAAGAAGTTTGGCTTTAATTGTTTCATAGCTAACGGTCCAACTTCAACAACTGTAGTCAACACTATACTGGACAAAGTTGTCACCCTCTTCACCTTCGTCTACACAAACATCAGTTGGTTATTAAACATCATGACATTTCATCTCTCATATCCGTGTGCGTGGACAACTAGGAACGTGAATTCAATTTCGACAATGTAGAAATTTTGGAAAGAAGAAACACAAAGAATATCAGAGAATTCCTAGAAGCTTGGCATTCAGGTCAGTCAGTCAGCAACCAACAGGTGTATAGACAGAAACCCAACCCATCAACCAATGAGAAAAGTGATAAACGACAGAAAGGTCAGAGGTGAAGCAGAGGAACAGCCAACAAGAAAATCTATACGGTCTGTCAATGACACAACACTTAAAGGAAACAACCAATCAAAAACCGGTTATTTCATCAGGGCAAGCTACCGAATCACTCACGGAGAGATATTGACAGCTCACTTCATATTGAAGTTAGTGCTGATGATGTTGTCTAGAAAGACGATGAAAGCTTCACGACTAAACAACCTAGCTCAGAGAACACAATACAACCAAGACAGTGCAGTATTTTCAGCTGGCAATATTTCAGAAAAATTACTTCCTGAATAAGAAATAATTATAACACTTGAATAGTGTTAATAATAACAGTAATTAAGGAATTAACATGTAACGGGTACCTTGAGTTAAATTAGCGTCTAGTCTGAGCTCAGAAATGACCCAAAAATCAAGTGTAATTATGATGGTGGTCGTTCAGTCAGACGATACACAAATCTACAATTCCATATAGGTAGATATCCTAGAAATGGTACAGTGCAGTATTTTTGAGCATCTATAAGTCCATTTCCATCCGGTGAACATGATACATTTAGAAGACGTGCCTTAATAGATTAAAACATACTGCAAGGGAAGAATTTTATGAAATATATTCAGTGGTGAAAATGTTTCGGTACCTTAAGCTTTAAGTCACCTTAAAATGTGTCCTTCTTCTGTGTCTACTACTTTATAATTCTACTGTAAAGCGTCCATTACAGACTACTCGATATAATTGCTCATTAATGAAAGCTGACACTCAATGTCTTTGTGCGATTCTGTTCGATTCTGAGACACCGCTTATGGTCTTCAGATATCTATCTTTTTGTTTATTCACGCTGATCAGATAGTAAACATTTTGGCATATGGATGGAGTTGTGGCTCACTAGTTCAGATAGTTAGTGTGACACTTTTAAATAGGGAGATAAAATTTTTCTTTCTTGACAGATTGACATTTTGGATTAAGTCAATAAAGTGAAATGTAACACGCAGACTATGTTTCAAAATCTCATTCTTCACTGAATCCAGTTTCTTGACGAGCTATTTTCAAACTGAATGATAAGGAGAATTGTTCATGTCTAGTATCGGACGAAGAGAAACACCTTCTTTGTCCACTTTGGGTGGACCATGTAGTCGAGGAATCGAGGAACCTGATGGACAAAGTTGTTCGTAGAGTGCTTCGTCTTTCATCTTCTTCAATGTCATGATCAACTAAAACTATATTTCATCGGTAGGGTCTTTGTGAACTGTCTGTTCTTAAAATTTATTTTCATGTGACAGAATGAGTGAAAGCTTATCTATATAATCAGATTTGTTTAGAAGCACTTTTTTCAGGGCGTATTATGACTAAGTTTTCATTTTTCTGAAGATCCCTGAACTGATTCCGATGTTTCTTTGATAGAATATATCTGGTGTTTGATTTTCTGTTTATGTAATCTATACAGCTATTTAGAACAGTTGATTTGAAATGGTCAAGGTCACTATATGAGGTTGGAGTTAGGTCTTTCGTTTGATAAGTCAATTCTCGTATTATACTATTATGCTGAGCATATCAACTTTGGATGTTGTATCACAGAATTTTAGCTCGACGGGTATGACCTCCATTTGAATGAAGGACAGCGATACACTTGAATAGTTAAATAGGTACTTTTTTGTTCACAAGGGAAAAGTAGTTTTATGGGTTATTAACTTCAAACTCTCGTTAAGTTTTATGTTAACGTCATCAGTACACTTCTTGGTGACAGTAGAAACATAGTTGTCAAATTCTTTCCTTTCATTCGTACATAATTCAAAAAGAATTTGGCTCATGTGTAACACTTGTCCTGCTAGTTCTGGTAATCGAAATCTATCAACATCAATATAGTTCGAAGTGTATCGTTTCAAAGTACGTGAATTAGAAGGGATATGACCATGTCTTAAATTCTTCGAAAACAATTTGCGGTATTCATGTCCACCTATGCACATTTCTTTCATAAAGAAATTTTCTCATTCACCGAAAAAAAGCAGAAACTTGTCTAATTCCTGTACCGTTGAAGAGTCCTTGCTATTCACACAATAAACTAACTGTCAACTACGATTTATTCAAGAAGTACACTTTTTATAGTATGATGTTACACTGCCATCACTTCTGAGAAGTCCAGGAAGTCAGTCAAACGTGATGAACACGTAAGACCTCGGAATTTTCCCAGTTGTTTAGTTTAGGTCCCATAAATAACATTACTTAAGCTATGTGTAGATTACTCAGTAACAACGCACACCATTTTGGTCCTAAACTGCACAGATTTAACCATGAATACTTGTTCTTCGACTTCAAACAAAGCAGAGGCATCTAATGCTAAAGGTATACATTCAACATTAGAAGACATACTATTCTGTCTACCAAATTCACACTGTAAAAAGTGGATACATGTGTGGTAAGAGTTGAAGATTGTGTCAAAAAGTTTTCAGAAGGTAGACATTTTTGAAGTTTTTGATGAAAAAACAAATGAAAGTATTTGATAGTGTTCAAATGGTCGCTTAAATACTACTAGAAATATACTTTCGTCTAATACTTTCTGGTTGTCCGGAGATCTTGCATAAAACAGCCCTGAAGTAGTTTCATAATGGACACCCATGTACTGCGAGCATGAGGTCTGTCGCCAGAAGTTATACATGCTGGCTAAATACGGACGCTGATATAACAGATTTCGTTAACCGATGTCACTCATGGCAAGCCGCAGCCAAGAATCCGCCTCGAGAGCAGCCTCTAGTATGGCCTCCATCACAACTATGGTCTCAACTACACTTGGATTTCGCTGGACAGGTAGATGGTGTGCATTACTTGGTTCTTGTGGACGCCTACTGAAGTGACCCGAGGTAGTTTCGATCACTCCACTCTTCAGCAGCCGAACCATCACAGCCCTCACTAAAATTCTCGCGTGCCATAGCACTCCAGAAAACATTGTATCTGACAACGATGGCCAATTCACGTCTCAAGTATTTCAACCTTTCTGTTAAAAAAGTGGTATGTAATACGTGCGGATGCCACCATACCACTGTCAGTTCAACGGCCAGGATGAGCAATTTGTAGACACCTTCAAAAAGACTCCATTGAAGGCAGAAGGAGAAGCTGCACTAGAAATCATACAGCGTTTCCTTTTTGTTTACCGCTCCACGCCATAGGCAGAGCAGATAAAAAGCGCAGCAGAGCTTTTAATGAAACAAATGCTATGCACATATCATCACTCCATGTTCCCATCTTCACCAGTTCAACGGAAAAATACGGTAGGATATATTCACAAAGGAGGCACAGTCTACGCTAGCAATTATCGACCATGAAGACAAAAATGGACAGAAGGTCTGATTAACGATCAACGAAGAACTCTGATGTACAAGTTTAAAGTGGAGCACGAAAGATGGATGAGACACAAAAATCAGATACAACGTCATCACGCCATGTCCTCAGAATCCAAGATATCGTTGGATCTGCTACTTGTAACTTTCAAACTACCTCCAGTCGATGAAGAATCAACTCGAGGGAAACCGAAGGATAAAAAGTTTTATCCAAGCGACGATCGAGGAGCAAACGAACTCGAATGGTACACTACTGAATCGACCGGAAAAAACACAGGTACTAAATTTTGTTGTTGTACATGTTCATTTTTTTAACATTTTTGCATAGCTTTTGCCTGCTGTTTTACCTATGACCTTTAAATAACCCACAGAGCTGTTTCCACACCGTTACTAGTTTTTCTTCCCTCTCCTCTCAAGGCTGAGCTCTCATTGGCTGTTAACTATTTATACCTATATGTAGATTTAGTGTTGTTAAAGTCATTTAGAAATGTATATATTCAGCATCGCTGTCTTACTGTATTGACTTTTGTTGAGACAATAAAAGGCTCTCTGTCAACGGTCTGTCTTCTCTTCGCGCCTCAGTGGTATTTTTGTTGTGGTGGTTGATGTTCTGATTTGTGCTAGAGTCGATTTGTTTGTGCATTAGGTTCGAATTGTTCATAGTCTGCAAGGCTTGTATAGCTCATAGGCTGTTATGTCGTATTACTGGTCATAGAAACTTCGTTACCACATTCAACTTTTGATTATCTTATGAAGATGGCAGTATACCTGGATGTTCCACTGAATTCTTACTTTCAGGATGTTTTTAAAACTCTGTTGCTTGATACTGAACTCCGCAGGATTTGAAGGGTATCCTTTTTTAAGAATCGAAATTTTCTTACTCGACATTCACAGTCGTATAAAGATGAGTATCCTTGAAAAATATCCTACTATTACTATTTTGTTGATATAACTGACACGAGTACTTCTCTGTTGAACTTAAAGATTAACTTCTTTTGTTTTTTCTTTGGCTAGTTGACTTCACACTGATATGTTCGTGGCGGCCTGCTTGAACCCTGAGCTACCAAATTTATCCCTCGAACATTTTTAATCAAATTCTTTCTTTTCGATTTGTTTTAATCATTAAAATATGTCCTTTGAACGTATCATGTACTCTTGCACATTTTTAAACTGTTTCCAACTCTCAGTTTATCGAGTCAATAACAAAGCAGGGAAAAAATGTCACGTCATTTAGACCGTTTGAATGAACCACCACCAACAAAATTATGCCTGCATTTCTGTTGATACTTCATTATGGACCGGATGCTCATCCAGAATCAGCTGACTATTTCATATTATTGCCCATAATACTGTGGTTATTAACATCATGCAGGTGCAATAACCATTTCGTCTGAAAATATTGTTCTGGGAGTGAATTTGTTGAAAAACTATATACTGAGAATTTCATACTGTCATACATATTGTTTAGAATAAAGTGATTATTATTATCTCAGAAAACACAAATTTTGTTAGACAAAAGTTGGATATGCTGTCACTGAATTGAAAAAAAATTAATCTTTAAGATGTTTATATTCTTTAATTGGTCACCAGAGAGTTGCGTTTTACTTCTGATCTTTATTGGTCATCTCATATCTTGTTGACTTCCAAGAAAATCTTTCACTGAATGTATTACATTAGGAAATTGAGACTCTATGATACAACTCAGTGTCTCTACTTCTACAATTTAGTAGCTTCATTCCTGCAATTTACCTATTCTTCTCTATCTTTCTCCGATGATCTTTATCTACTCTACTAAAAAGGAACTGTATTATATTGCATAGGACTTTGGAAGCCGTCAGTAGGGTGGTTGTATGCCTCTGGCCGAGTGTTTAACGCTGTAGTTGACAGATATTTAAATTCTTTCAGGCAACTAGGTACAAATGCACTGAGCATCTAATTCATTCATAGATCTCCTTGTATCTCCTCAGGGAGGACAAGAAGAAATTACACAAGACTGTACGCTCATACAGCTGAATACAAGAATTCAACTACACTTACCTGGTACGCATATTGTGTGAAGAAAAAATGTGTTGAACAGAACCCATTCTCCACTTTGCAACAATAAATAGTCAATCTCTTCAATATCGCATCAATTTATGCACCATTTCCCTCGGTACTAATATTATTTGCATAACATAAGTTGAACAAAACGTGAGTGCTGGATTCCTCTGCTAACCGCAATCAAGTAAATTGCCATGTTTAATATTCAGGCAATATCAAGTCTTCTGGATAGGAGGGAGCCTATATGCCAATAGAAATCGAACAATTCGACCAGTAAAACAACGCAGAATTACAAGTCTGTACCCGTTGTACAAGAGATGGCTGTGGTTCCTCCGTGGCCCAGTGGATAACGCCTTGGCTTTTGAAATGATAGGTACTAAGTTCGGTTCTCAGTGGAAATAACAAAACTCACTGAGGTACAGGGACATCCGGCTGATGAGTCACACATAGGACGAGACGTGCGTCCTGGATTCCTCCGCCAGTGACAACCAAGTCAGTTACTATTAGAAGTGTTGTAAAGGAATATTTATATATTTTTGTTACAATATTATATACATATGCTGAAAATTCTAAAGTGTCCCGAAAATTGTGTGGAATGAAGTGGTTATTACTATTATTATTATTATTATTATTATTATTATTATTATCGGATATTAATGAAGCTTTTCAGTGTAAGAAACACTTTTATTCGTTTACCGTCGTGCATTAAAAAACATGGGTTAATTTTCCACTTGATTATTTAATCTCTTAGGATCGATTTATTCCGGAGTATTGGGTAAGTTTATGTATTTTCTTTCTCCTTTTTTTCTTCAGTACTCTGTAATCACGTCAGTTGAATTGTCTATTTCTTTTTATTATTCCACTGTAACATTTGTAGACCATCATCTTTGTATAACATCGTTCATATCCAGTACTGCAGTCATTTAGTTATTATAACCCTCATGGAATTGCTTTGAAATGACCTCTGTTTGTTGTAATGCACCGAAAGGAATAAAAGTGAGAATATTAGTTGGTTGAAGACTATCGGCAGGGAGCTCAGGACCGAGATGTCAGACTTGTTAGCAACCTCGACAGAACTGATGTCGCATCTGAGATCCGAACCTGCGTCACCCAGTGTTGAGTTACCTCTGAGCTCGCGCTTTATCCTAAATTTTATTCAAGAAATTAATCGCTTCATTTTATCTCCAATCATGTTTAAGTATGCACTGACCAATCAGAATCAAGTATATGAAGGATAACGTAATTATTGAAGAAAATGGATCTTACTTTATTTGCAATTTATAAATCTTTTAGACATGAATGAAAATACCTAGGTTTTCAATAAGTTTATCATCTTTGAAATCATATCATTGTCTGTATTGTCACTCATACGAATGACAGATCAGGGTCTTATAAACGTTTTACGACGACTCCACATATTTTCAACGTTGTTTTTGTATACTCCAGTCGTCTTTCAACGAAGTGTTTCTTGTGAAGAATTGCTTGATAGGAGTAACTTATTCCATATATGACTTTCAAGCATCTGTGTATGTATATTGTCTTACGCGATGCAATCCATTTTTCTGTGACTGGTAGCAAAGATTTATCTAATCTACCCTTTATCCATTGAAAGTGTCCTTCCTTCGTATTTCTGTCATGTATACCAAGAATCCACGATTTGTCAAGACATATGCGTAACGTATCGAGTCTTGTTTTACTCGTCTTCCTCGGTTATATCCAGCTTCGCGAAGAAAACATTCATCTATTTTCACCAAACTTAACATCCAACTTGGATATTATTTCAGAGCAAATATCTCGCGCTGCGGATATCACTGGATTAAAGAAACTCTACTAACATTTGTCAGCACCTCTGCTGATATTATTGATGTTTCAACGACTCAATGTAGTACTGAAATCATTATTTTGTTACATAGTTAGGTGAGATCCTTTGAAAAGTGATCCTGTTCTCAACCATTTCTTCTTGTAACAATCCATTGTAACACCATATTCAAAACTGAGATTTCTCAGAGGCAAACCAGTTGTCGCCAAGTGTAACCCATAACTTAATCTTCATCATAATTCGTCAAAAGTATATGCAGCGACACCAATATTGTAACTGGACGTAACTAGTTACCTTGAATTCACCATCCATAACCTAATTGATCGTCTTCAAAATTTCTCATCACTAAAGTTTAGTTATATCCATTTCATGAACTGTACTGGGTTGTGGTCGTGTAATTCAAATGTGTGTATGTAAGACTCATATAGCATGAATACGTGGAGAAAGTTGAGGAAAGATTAATAGTTAATTGGCCCCAAATATATCTTCTTGTGTTCACTTCAGCTTATGACTCTTTGACTAAGTAAAGCTCCAACAATTGTAGCGATGTTTTCCAGTCATAAGTCGAAACATGTGATGTGTAGACACATCAGTTTATTTGTTCTCATAACGCTACTTACCAGCGCTTGTGGTGTTTACCACTCATCTATCCCTCACTTAAGTGAGATCGTTTAGGTTGAAATTATTGATGTAACCGAATGCACACTTACGAACGTTTGACTTTCAGATTTCACCCTTGAAAATCACTCACTTCGTCGAAAAATAGAAAAGATGATACGACAACAGAGGTTGAAACCAAACAAATCTAAGTTTAACTGGCTTCAAAGATAAACAACTCCGTTATACAATACATTGATGGATACAATAAGGAATCACCGATAATAGAATTTTGCAGAAACCTTACTGGCCAGCTTATCTGATTTCTGAAGCGGTATCACTTTGCAGACGAAACGAAAGTTCATTTGCTCATATAGATAAACATTATCTATGAGATTCGTATGCGGTTCATTTGAGCTGTATTATCTCATTCAGCGTAGGGTAAGAAGATTTGAACCTCTAGAAGTAAATATTAAGTTGCTAATGTCGACGCTTGTCGGACAAGCTCGAAGATTTGCAGGCGAAAACCAACAAGTTGACAGAACAGGCAGAGAAGACAGAACTTTTTTCGGGTGAACGTAGAGAAGACAGAGGTGACGAATATACCCAACAACGAGTTTGGCGTCTGAGGCGAGAATGACTTGAAAGATATGGTGTGAGAAAGAAATGAAAGCTTCTGGGCAGTTGTGGATCCAGGTTGAATGCAATGTAGACATGCTACTGAAGCCATATGTTCCTCTACAAACCCAAAGAAAAAATAATATTAATATATATAACGGCTGAATGGTAAATGCCCTCGTGATGAAGGTCCAGAGTTCAAGTCCTGACATAGTCGTAGGTATGTGCCTCCGACAGTCCCAATGCTGGGACGAAAATGCTGCGTGGTGCTTCGACGTTTTCCGCCGTCGCTCCGCTCGGAGCCGGTCCACGATGAATAAAATTTAACAAACAAAATCCTCATAAACCTCCAACTACTTAGTTGTCTCGGTTGAAAAAGTAGGTAGTTAAGCAACCCTCCCAACAATAATCTTCATAGAATTTTAGAATTTTTATTCACCACATTGCAATAACAACCCCCCACGATCAATCAAATTTTCGTCTCTCATTTGTCTGTGTTATCCACAACCTTAGGAAAGGGAGTATATTCTCAAATGTGACTAGTAATGAGAAGATAGCCTCATTGTGTCGATTGAACTTCACACAATGAAGACTTTTATTGACACAACGTAAATTCAACTGACATCTTCGACATGTTTATCAGCATTTGGACAGCCTCATGCAACATAAGCTCATACAGTCAACCTGTTCACTATTCAAAACACTAAGAACTCTTCTATTTCTCCACTTCTATCCAACTTTCCCATCTAAAACATTGTAGAGACAACACAATGGAAGAAAGTCCGTGAGGGCTAATTAGATCTGTTATCCATAGAAGGATTGTTCGATCCCGATTTCTTGACTCATCTTTATTCACTGCACATCAGCGCATGTGATTATGGTATGCGAGTTACACCACCAGTATTCGAGGTATTTTCATCACAAGATTAAGAGAAGTGTTCTGCTTGACTGATCCACTTTTGTTGGTAACCTCCTAAAGGTAACCAATCAGTCCACACATCTGGATATGCTCAGTGTATTCTTCGGAGGTATGGTGGATGACAGTGAGCGTCATTTGACAGAAGTCAATCAGAGACTTTCAACTTTACCACACTGAATGTTCTGGTGTATTCTACATTTTAGATCTGAGTAATTCCACCTCCCATTTGTTATGATTGACTTTCTGAGATGTGAGTATTACATGACGCTCTCCATTCTACTACAATCGCTTTATTAAAATCTTGTTGATAAAGATTGGTAACGTGATTTGAAGAGTTTGAGTGACATATATGTTGAGATAGGTGGGGAGGAGTGATTATGAGGAATGTTATGTGATGTTAATGATGGATAGAGGCTAATGGTGGAATGTAGGACATGCGGTTCGACCTCTTTCGGACTTGTAAGTTGAGTGTACCTGCTTCCCAGTGAGTGATGTTGTTCCCACTAAGGTATGAATCCAAGACTGAACGAATGAAACACCACAGACACAAACCATAGCATCAAGGAATGCATACGCAGTGGCTATCGTGACTCGTCGATATTTTTTTAGCCAGTCAGTCCTTGGTTCAGTCCTTTATGGAAGTGACGTCAATGACTGGGAGACAGGTACATCCATCTGACAAGTCTGAAATGGGAGGAAATGCACACCTTGGACTACACTTTTAGTTACTATCTTTCAATAATCTCAAAATTTAAGGCACCGGAACATTGAAACGGCCACAAATAAGCGCATATATTGATAGTGACCGATCATTTTGCTCCAATCCACGATAAATATGTACAAGCTGTAACATGATAAAAGCTATAAGTTAAATGATTTTAAAACACTAGTTTTATTGGATTGTATATATTTTACACGTATCTTTCCAAGAGCTTCTATAGTGAACATTATGCCTCACTTCTTGGATTTATCAATAAAAGCATAGGCATATGTCTGTGTGCAGTAAGCCTGTACTTTTTTTAAACCTTTCTTTTCGTATTTCTAAAGGATCTACAAATTGATATCATTCGTCAAGAATTCAATAATATTGCTATGAATAGTAGAGCTGTTATCATTGAAGGATTTCCATGTCATGAAGGACAAGTGAATACTTTTAATCAACATGTAAGTGAAATTTGATTAGGTAAATTTTAATAACCTTGAGATTATTATTACTGTTACGTATAAACTTTATTTAGGTGTAGCATTTTTAAAAAAATCATGAAACAATTTAGGATTTCGCATTAAATGTTTTATAAAGATTGTCAATCTTAAGAGATATTCATATAGTCTGTGTTATAGTCGTCGGAATAGTGAGTGTTATGATAGTAAACTGGGAGTAATTACATTTAAAGTGGTGTAGTCCCACTGTATCGACTGTTTCTATTTGTACTGTGTTGTTTGTGGTGCATTTTTATTCAATTTTCGTGTTATTCTGTACAGTTTGAAATATGGATGAATATACTCTCACTATTATGGTCGTTTTTCAGATTTCTTCAAGTGTCAGCATTAGTGAAGTCAGCATTCCACATTAGATTTGTTTATTTGATATAGACAGCATACAGTGTGATACGGTATTATTTACTGGATGACGTTTCGAGCATCAATTATCATTGCTCATAATCAAATCTATGTAATTACACTATTTTGGACATTTGATTTTTATAGTCCTACCACCCATCTCATATTCTTTGCTTTTATTAGTAATAAAATTACCTATATCTCTGATATTGGTGTTGCGTCATTTTTATCACATGTATTGAATGCTGGTTTATCCAATAGACAAGGATTTAGTAATCATTATCTCTCAATATCCACCTAATTATATATTGAACTTGAATACTGTGGTTCCATACCACCTTATGTGGTTCAGTATTCATAGATGAATTGCATTTCCTGAGTTTTCACCTGATAACTAATCCTAATAGGGTCTATCATTCTATATTTAACTTAATTCCTATGTTCCAGTCATCAAACTGATCCCAACCGGTTAGTTTAGCCTATGTACTTCACCTCACAGTCATGGAATTTGATAGATTAGATTATTTTGCTTAAGTGGTTCTATCGGATCCTTAAGCCGAGAAAGCTTATATCTGAGTAACTTTGTTGGTTTAAATGCCACTTTAACTACAACTTTATTTAAAATTCTTCGTAAAGCTTCTGGTGTACTTTTCTTATAGGGGTAACACAATGGAGGCTGTGAACTCCTTTCTACTTGTGTTGTCGTTATTATTCGCACTATTGTTACTGTTATCTTTTCGTTTCCTGTGTGCTCATACGAATTTCTTAATAAACTGCAGAGGATATTTGTTAATTATTAACGCTTCTTTTATATGCCTCAGTTCCTTGTTTAGTTCCTTGCACTGATTAGTCAGTTTTCTAGCTCTATCATTTGAACATTTGACTCAACTCACACTATTCACTGACATTGGATGAGATGACCTGAAACCTAGGTACATGTTGGAATATGTCGGTTTTCTGTAGATGGTAGTATCCAAACCACCGTCTCTCCTTCGCTTTATCCTGCAATCCAACATAAGTAATTCTCGTTGTTGATTTTCTGTCTCTTAAGTGAATTGGGTCACACTGACTACTGAGGAACATCAGTAAGTTTACGTGGGATTGTCAACAAAACTGGAATTAGGATAGCATTTAAACCTACAAACTCACTCTGCTGGCTTAAGCACTAAATAGAATCAATTCAACAAAATTTAATCTATCAAATCCTATGTAATGACTGTGAGGTGAAGATTAATAATCTACGAGACTTGGCTATTGCAATGCATGGATTAACACACAACCACACAATAGGGTGGGATAAAGCCACTTTACTTCAGTCGTATGTAATTAGGCGGAGAGAGAGAGATACTGATTAATGAATCTTTTTTCATCGAATCAAGCAACACCCGCACATGTAATAAAAATGACGCAGCACCTATACCATAGATATGGGAAATTTTACTACCAATAAAAACAAATCATATGGTGACAGAACTATAAAAATCAATTGTCGAAATCGCTGTGATTACATTGATATGATTTTGAGAAATGATACTGTATACTCGAAATGTCATACAGTGAATATTACTGTATCACACCGTGTGCTGGCTCTATCAAAGAAACAAATCGACCACAGTGCCCAAGTCTTACACTTATATTGATGAAGTCAGCATCTTGCAGAAGTAAATAGTCTTCTTTTATGAAATACTGATTCCCGATTAGTTTCACCACCTTCTTAATCAACTCCTCTTCTATTGGAAAAATATCACTGCACTTATTTGTTTCGATACTGATTTTACCTCTTCATGAAGGAATTAAGTTGTTATTTGAGTATTCAGAGCACTGACTAACAAGTCAACACAAGTCTCTAATATCGTGTAATTACTACAACAGCTAGTTAGAATGTAGTACGAAAATTGGTTCACTACACTTTAGTGAAGGGAAGCCTTGAAGACAACCAGTCTAGTTGCAGATGGTTTATTCAAGCTATTGGTTGCGTCCATTTACCGTTTTGTTGACGCGGCTTAAGCGTTTGATGAATTCTGACGAAGATTACGTTGTAGGTTTCATATGAAATTTGTTGGAAAAGGTAATATGGCTAAAATGGATGAGTGTCTTATTCCGAAAGTCGAATATACTCTAGGAAAATGAGTTAAACAGGACTGGATAATATATAACTTAAAACAAAGTGTATATATACACCTTTGTCTTAGCAAATTACAGATTCTTGGTATGTATAACCGAAATACGAAGAAATGGCATTTTCAGTGGATAAAGAATAGATCATAAAAATCTTTCGCAACATTTGATCTTGGTGTCTAGGAGACGCGTGTTTCGCCCTATTTGGAACTCGTCAGCTGGCGGATGTACCTGTACCTGCAGTACCGAGGTATCCGCATAAGATCTGTTAACAGCTGAGGTAGCAGCTGTATGAAAACTCGTGACATTGGATATCACAATATACATAGACGCTTGGAAGTCATGTATGCATTTATCTGAAATAGATTGCTCCCACCAAGTTATTGTTCACAAGAAGACAAGTGGAGTGCACACAAAACGCTTCGAAACTAAGTGAAGTCGTCTTAGAAAGCTCTTAAGACCTGTAAAGAAATCACAACAAGAAATTTCTCCAATATCATTCAAATGATAATGTCTTATGTGGATTAGTCGCGATGCAGACAGTGGTGTGGTTTAAAGGGTGCTAAACCTATTTAAAATCTAGATATCTTTATCTCTAAGGTGAAACAGATTTATAAGTTGTAGACAAAATGCCATTTCTTTTAATAACTACTTTGTTCTTCTGACTGGTCATTGCATACTTGAACGTCTTTAAAATTTAGCTGAACCTATAAGTGTATCACTTGATACGCCACAACGGTTTCAGTTTTCACTTTGAATATCATCATCAACACCAACATAGGACCAGGAATTACTCCACAACCGTCTCAGTTGCCATACCTCATATCACCACATCAAGTAACAATGCTGTGACACATGGATCTTAACCAACTACTCTGCATCTCCTTACATGGCTCAGAATAGCAGTCAAGGATTTCATGCATTGATGCAGTGCTTTAGTTTGGTCGTGTCAAGCCTTTATCTAATCTGAACATACTTTGGCCAACATTATATGACGAAGGAGACGGCGGCTAGGCATACGTAAAGCACATATCAGAACCATTTCAGTCGATAAAGGTACACAACCATATAGAGTGACTTTCTCCTCTTCTTTAAGACTAGATACCTGACTTCTGATTTACTCATGTGGTGATACGATAACACACGACCTGTACTCGAAATCTAATGGTGGTCATGTCCTCCGTCTTCATTCCAAGATTGTACAGTTTGAGTAACCTTCAACTAAATTTCCTCTTGATAAGCATCAGGTTACAAGATGATCATCCTTCTCTCAAAGTTCTGCTACAATTCAAATGTATTTCCGTTATATTATTCATGTAAATCTGATGAGATAGGTGTTAACTGATTGAAAAAAGAAGAGGTAAACAAACAAAATGTTTAATTTTTCAATGTTTTACAGATTGGTGGTGTTGACTTGGCAATACTGTTGGATTGTGTGGAATCCAGTCTCCAAGAACGATTACATCAAAGGTATACACGCCTAAATCGTGTTGAAGATCAAGACAGTGTAGCTGTCCAACGTGTATTATTTTTTAAATATTGTACACTACCTGTTGTAAGACATTATGATGAACTTAGAAAACTAGTGACAGTAAGTGATTCTTGTAAGCGATCTACATCCTTCTCGGTTTCTTTTTGTCTACATATCTATGTATGTGTAAATGAAAGTGTACGGGGACAGTGACTTTTTGAAAAAATGTATAACAAATCGACATGTTTTCGGTGTTTATCTAAGAAGAAAACTGTATAAGATATATTTTCTTCACCATGAATCCACAGGTATAACTTTGTATTTTATTTCGTCACATCTCATAGCCTATTTTCATTTGTCTAATTGAAATAAACTTATCACTGAAATCATTTGAATATTTAACCAATGATTAAAGGTGTTTCGTTGGTCACGGCAAGATTCAATCTAGTGACCTCATGATTATTGATCTGATACTGTAGTAACTGAACTTTTTGTGACTCAACTGGTGAAAAAGTGTTGCCCAGCTTCATTGTAGAACAGAAAACATGTTTCAAGTTTAACTAACTAGCCTTAACTTTAGGCTGTAGGTAGTGTGTTAAATAGTTCGTAAAGCTGATGGAGTCTGGTGTTCCATAAAGAGCTTTGATTGTTTTATCTCAGTCCTGGTGATAGACAGATACAGTTATCAAATGACGATCTCTACAGGTGAAATTTTGACAGCCACAGACATGACTCGTTAAGCATTCTCAGCAGCTTTGTATGGGTGTATCATGAACACTATATGAACAGTACTAAAGTTATTATCATAATATTATTATTTGTCCCGTGGGTTCCTTTTGGAACATACAGCTTCAGTAGCACGTCTCCATTCCACTATGTTCTCTGCAAATTTTTGAACCTCGCTCCACGACAGCCCACAAGCTCTCATTTCTTCCTCGCACGATCTCCTCCATGTCACCCTCCGCACCGACACCCAACTCGTCGTGTCCCACCTGGGTTCCACTAAAGGGGCTGGCCTGGCACTTGATGTTCCCAGTCGGCCTTCTCAGTGTATGCCCATTCCAATCCATCTCCACTTACTTCTGCTTAGTTGTTGAGATATAAGTTCTTGGTTGGTTTGTTTCCCGGCCAGAGTTCCTTGTTGCTTATTCTTTCTGGTCATCCGATCTTCAGTATTGAGCGTAGGCAGTTGTTGATGAATGTCTGTAGTTTGTTGGAAATAACTTTCGTAATGCGCCGGGTCCCTGAGCCATGTAGAAGCACTGACTTGACGTTGGTGTTGAAAATCCGGATGTTGTTCACGCTTTTGCTGAGTGCAGAAGGTCTCCACACTGGTTTCATGCTAGTGAACGCCTGTCTTGCTATCTTTCCGATCCTGGCTTTGATGTCATGGTCTGTGCCGCCTGTAGTTAAAACAGTGCTGCCTAGATAGGTGAAGGAGGCTACCTCCTTTAAGTTTCTCCCGTTGATGGTGACTGGACCTTGTTGCTGTTGGTGGTGGTGTAGGTTGGGTATCATCATCACCTCTGTCTTCTCTACATTCACTTGAAGTCCCGCCTTCGCTGCCCCGCTCCGCCTCTTTTATCAATTTGTTAGTTTTTGCCTGTAGATCTTCAAGTTTGTGTGACATTAGACATATGTCATTGGCGAAATCTAAATCTTCTAGGAACTTTTACCCGGTCCAGCCTATCCCCTCTTCTCTCTCCTTACTGTTTATTGCATGATTCAGTCCGCTACAATCAGGAATATCATGAGTGATAGTAGATAGCCTTGCTTTATTCCTGTCTTCACTTCAAAAGCATCACTGAGCTTCCCATTGTGAATTACTTGGCATGTGGAGTCTTCATATAGTTGTTGAATGAGATTGATAGAGGTTTGTGGTATTCCTTAGTGTTGAAGCAGTTGCCAGATTACTTCTCGGTCGACGCTGTCAAAGGCCTTTTCAAAGTCGATGAAGCTGAGGTGCAGAGTTGACTGCCATTCTATACTCTGTTCTACGATTATGCGAAGCGTTGCAATTCGTTGTACAAAAGTAAGATGTGAAGTATTTTTACTCCAGGACAATAAAAGTCGCATACCAAACGCATAAGCAAGTCTTCTTGACAATTTCTGTTCTCCTACCCGATTTAAGGTTACCTCAAACTGTTTAACGCACAATGAAGTGAGCCATCAAGCAGACCAGTAGAGGAATCCAGTACTCGCGTTTCGTCCTATTTGGGACTCGTCAGTTTGTGGATGTATCTGCGCCTGTAGTAATAAGGCATATGCATAGGAGCCCATCTGCCAACAGCATAGGTCGAGCAATTTGGTCCCATATAGCAACGGGAATTCAGAAGTTTCACAACAACAGACTGTACAGTAATAATCTCAAACTAGCTTTCCTGTTGTTCTTTTACAACCCATAGCATTCGTCTTCTGCTATTTTATTCTATGTGAATTTTATACCATCGCAAAAAATCAACTATGTAACTATGTAAAATAAATACTGTCAGCTTTTGTCGTGGTTTACCAGCATCTTACAGTACAGAAGGAACTTGTTTTCTGTCTTAAAGTACAATAAGAATATATTTTATGTGACTCAATGGTAAAGTGTTGGCCGTGGAACCTGAGAGTCCTGAGTTCTATCTCCTGTAGGGTCATAGGTGGGAACTGCTGACCAGTGTCTCATACTAATCATTTTTTTCAGAGTTATTATTTCACTCTCTGCAAAAGAATGATGAGTGTTTGGAGTTCCGATAGTATTATCTTTTTATAACTGAGTATACTTATGGTATTTAAAACCAATGTTAGACCATATCTAGAAGTGTTCAACACGATAGCCCCACCCCTTCTCACTACTAAAGAGAGATGCTAATACTGTCTAGAATGTATAGAGAAGAGCAACAATGTCGGTTGTCGAACTAACAGGTAAAACATATGCGCAACGCCTTAGAAGGCTCAACTTGTCCACACTAAGCTATCGAAAGAAACAAAGTTACCTGATAACGGCTTTCAAGATCATTCACCAAGTAGACCACCCAAATAGGTCAACGTTATCAGTCCAAAACCGACAATTTCATGGGAACCCCAGTCGCATACCCCATCATAGGGTAAAGACGAGAGTGAAATCAAACTTCTTCTCCCACAGAGTATGTGCCTTATGGAACGCTCTGCCGAAGGAAGTGGCCACAGTTACATCAGCTGAGTATGTTAGCACAAATGGCTTACCACAAACATTTGTCAGTAGCAACTGATGATATGCTCTTTCATCCTTGTATTCCTCAACCCTAGTACCTGCAGTAAGACGCATCCCCTCTCCATATTATTACCAGTAACACTTATCTTTCCATATGTACTTTTCACTCTATTTCTCATTTCCCACTCACCCTATTTCTAGCATCTTTTAAGTAACGCCTATTGCTTACTTATAGATGCTTACAAAAATAGGAATCACAAACGGTCAATTGATCTTATCAGCAGCTCTGTTGCCCCCCCCCCCAAAAAAAACGAACCAATCTACAGTCTGTAAATAAAATACCTTCAAATAGACAATCACCACCTTCAAAGCTATAAGCTAAACGCAAAGACTTTTACGAAAATCGAAGGAGTAAAACCGAACAAAAAGAACCGAGCCTCAAGACCTAGAAGCAAGAGCTCAAAAACTACAAGTTTCCTCTACTCGCACTATTGATGTTGGGTGATATTGGAAGACATAAACGATGGAACGTTGATAAGTAGGAAAGAAAAGCGCAAAAAGAATAGAATGATTAGAAGAGCAGTTCAGTAAGGCACATTCGAAAAGAAACATTCATTACTTCTCAGCAGCAGAAGAAGATGAGAGGAAGCTGCAACATGATTGCCACTCGTTTGGATTCTGAGCCATATCTCTGATATTGTCTCAAACCTCTGAGTTGCATGATCTCTTGAACCCTACCCAGAGAGTGGTGATGCACCAACAGATGCTTACCCGATAAAACTATCCGTCATTTTACTGCTCCACGTCATACACTGACCCCTGTTTCCGTTCTTCCATCCAGTCGCAGAGCCAGAAAACAGTGAGCCATATAGAAGCTGTTGGGACGACATGTGTAACACGTGTCCAAGTCACCGAAGCCAATGTTTATAGATGACTTCACTAATTGAATGATGATCTTCATCATGCTTAAACACACTCTATCGTACCTGAGAATCACTTACACAGTGTTGTCACTGAGTAGTCTTCTAAAAGCGAATTGCATTCATCAAAGACTGGAAATCTTTTAGAGGACTAAAGGAAACCAGATTTTACCAAACGGCTGTCCAATCCCAAACAGTTTACCTGTATAAGGCATCAGGTCTCGTGACAAGTAAATTACCATTCAGTCATTGAATTGAAATTCAACGGTCCACATTTTTCACTGTAATAGGGACCATCATCTGACTCCATCCTTCTAGATCGACTGGATTGCCACCATATGCCAGTATGCTTTTATCATCAGGTTATTCTATTTTTGGATAGCTCGTCAAATTTTATATTTCTTCTTTCATACTTTCGATATTTTAGATTCCTGGGGATCGAGAACAAAATCTTGTCTTGAATGATTTCATGGCAGTGGTTGAATACTTTCTACGCAAGGTACATATATATATATATATATATATATATATCCACCTTAATTTATTTGGCCTCTTTATAACTTCCATATCTTTTCTCTTTTATTGAAACAAGAAAGAATCAACTAATCCAAGTGCTGACAGCTCAGCTTTTGTGGATACTGAAGAAATTATTCCAGAAATGTCAAAATTGATAAAAGAAGAATATACTTATCCACTACAGGTATGTTTATAAAAATTTATAGTTGAATTGGATACTAATTTTTGCATATACATTATTAATTGTTCTATGAACTTGTATTCTCATCGACATACCCTTGGTCTTAAGTTCTGTGAAGGAAGAATTTCACACTTTGTACTTTTATTGCTACTACACTTTTTTATGTTGTTGTGTTCTCCGGACTGGATTGTTTAATCATGAAGCTTTCATTGTCCTTCTAGACAACATAATCAACATAAACTTCAGAAAGAAGTGAGCGATAAGTTTTTCTCCACAATTTATTTGCTAGCTTGTCGTGGTGGCCTTGTGTGTGACCGGTTGTTTCTGTCAAGGTCATGTCATTGTCTCTATGTTTATTTTGACTAGTCGTCCTGATGACTTGAAATTAGACTTTGACATTCTCATCTGTGCCGCCGCCTGTAGTTGAAACGATGCTGCCCAGATAGATGAAAGAGACAACTTCCTTTAGATTTTTCCTCTTGATGGTAATTAGCGCTTGTTGTTGTTGTTGTTTGGGTATCTTCATCACCTCTATCTTCGCTACGTTCACCTGAAGGAAGTTCCGTCTTTGCTGCCTCTTCTACCAACTTGTTAGTTTTCGCCTGTGACCTCATAAAAACTATATATTTGTCGCACGATGTCATTGTTATGCCCCAGTAGCCTAGTGGTGGGAACAATGTAACTCAATGGATTGCAGTTGTACATCCACCTGAAGAGTCCCAAATAGGAAAAAAACCACACCTTGTACTCTACTACCAGCCACTATCCATCATTACTGTAAAAGTGATCATGTTTTTCTTAAAAAGATATTTGTAGTATCGTAAGGAGTTAAAATGATTTTTTGTTTTCTTCACAGGGTGTTGTTATTGATGGTAAGTCAATGTGGTACTTTTTTGGTGTGTGTTTTACACTTTATGTAATAATGAATCCAATATGTATGAATGTCTCTCCAGTTTTGTGAGTGTCTAGATATGATAAACATGAGAAGATAGTTTGACTAGTAGAGCGTAGTTAAAATATTCTAAGCTTCTAATAACTTGCGAATGTTAGGGTTGTTCTACCACAGTTTTATCTAGGTCACGTACAACTGACTGTAAGAAATACCATCGCTGAAAAAATAACGTTATTAGAAATCTCATTGGAACTTCCAAATTCTCTGTACACACAAATACGTTCGTCTACTGCATTATCAATCTTTGTCTACTTACTTGTTATTTGTATACTACTGATATTTGTGGCCACTTGAACCGAGAATATACATTGGTCCTTGTTATTTGGTTGAAGGCAATCGTCAAGACACTGTGGACCTACGTATCGTGCTTGTTGGCACTCGTCAGCAAAGTGTGCCTGCAACCTCGACAGAACTGATGTCCCCTGTGGGAATCGAACTCGCATCACTTTGTGTTGTAGTCAGCGAGGTTACCACTGAGCTATTCGGAGCATGATTGACCTCTCGTAGGATTGAATTGGACTGGACACGTCAACTGGTCACTGGAGGGTAACCGACTTCATGTTGTTAAATCCTATGTGCTGACCGAATCCTGTGGGTCATTTTGCAATGCGGCCACCAAATTAAGCAGTTAAGCATCGCGAAATACTTTAGTGGCTCAATGGTAACGTCGCTGACTACAACATTCAGTTACGTGGGTTACAATCTCACAGGGGACATTAGTCCGTCGAAGCTGCAGATACCCCTTGCTGACAAGTGCAAAGAAGCACGAAGCCCTCTAGTAATTAATCAATGTACGTCCATTCTGTTTGTTTGTATAGCTTTAAGTCGTATCTCACAATTTGCCTTCTACATCACCCTTTTGATTAACGGGTCAGATATAACCAACTATCTATGATGTGTTTGAATCCGTTTTTCACTAGTTTTCAAAGTAAACTTACACAACTTGGAAAACCACTGTAAAACTTGGCGTACCCACACCTCCTTTGTTCTCTCATGGAGTGAAGTGTGCGGTCAACCTCGAAATCCTGAAATTAGGATGAAACATCTTTTTAATACTCTTTGGTTTTCAGTGGTCTGTTAATTAATGTAAATCCATAATAAACGATGCCTTAAGTCGAATTCGCTCTACATGACATGGTTATCAATGATACAAGAGAAACATTATGAGGACACAAACTTCTTATCATCGATCTGAATGTATCGCAGCCTTGTTATATGGGTTCTACTGTGATAATTTTTGCAGAAATATTTCTATACTATCAAAATGCTGATAAGTGTTTATGATAACAGTCTCAGGGAATTTAAGTTTCGACAGAGTTGTGAGTCCTGCTGACACTTCTCAGCTCTCCACACAGTGGACAAATAAAATTGGGTGATCTCAGAGCCCATCAGATATCTGCTTGAGGCCTGTAATTCACAGACTTTTGCAGATTGTTGTCTCGAAATTTGGTTGTTCTAACAAGAGACAGTAGAGATTCATTCCACCAGCATCCGAAAATCATGGGACAGGAAGGAGTGTGACATTTTGGAGACCGACCTTTCCTAACCCCCCTTATCGTGAAGAAAGCAATATCTTCATGGCACTGCCAGTAATCCCAGGGGAACGAAATTATAGCTGCCTGTACTTGAACCCTATCAAAGTGTAGCAATTTATAGTATAGTACAAGGATAACCGCATTTTTTCTTGCCACTACCCAGCTGACATTTATTGTATGTCGGGATGTCGACGGAAAAGGCGCTCCAGCCAGTGCAGCTTGTTCAGTTATTGTTATATGATATACCAGCCTGACCATCACATGAAGACAGCAATCAGCCACAGGTTGTGTATGATAACAGTTCCAGAAGATAATTACGTCTCACAAAATCCCGATAACGACTTTACGAGCAGCGTAAACGTTTCTTTCCTTATTTTCATTTAGAAAACTTAAGGTTTATTCAAATATATATATTCGTTTTACTATTTTAGATGACAAGTCACTTGAGGCAAGTTTTGAGGATAGCGTAGATAAAGAGCAGGAGACATCATTGTCTCAGGTATCAGTTGTACCTGAAGCGAATCAAACGGATACAGTTCCACCTGAATCAAACTTGGATAATTCAACCAATATGGGTAATTGTGAAAACATTTCTATTGTTTGTCTTGTGTTAATTAGTGAAACAACTAAATGAAGATGAGTATTTATCAACTATCTATTATGTTTCATCTTCTCATGAACTTAATTCCATTATACTTGAAAAATTTCCTCCTTAGTTTATTGTTCATTATTGCTATTACAGAAAGTAAATCGTATTCGATTAGAGTTTTGATTCCATCAGTCACTTTAAGTATTCTTTCCCTGGACATCTGTCCTTCACTGTTGAACCGATCGGTCTTGGATTCATACCTTAGTGGGAATAACATCACTCACTGGGAAGCAGGTACACTCAACTTACAAGTCCGAAAGAGGTCAAACCGCATGTCCTACATTCCACCATTAGCCTCTATCCATCATTAACATCACATAACATTCCTCATAATCACTCCTCCCCACCTATCTCAACATATATGTCACTCAAACTCTTCAAATCACGTTACCAATCTTTATCAACAAGATTTTAATAAAGCGATTGTAGTAGAATGGAGAGCGTCATGTAATACTCACATCTCAGAAAGTCAATCATAACAAATGGGAGGTGGAATTACTCAGATCTAAAATGTAGAATACACCAGAACATTCAGTGTGGTAAAGTTGAAAGTCTCTGATTGACTTCTGTCAAATGACGCTCACTGTCATCCACCATACCTCCGAAGAATACACTGAGCATATCCAGATGTGTGGACTGATTGGTTACCTTTAGGAGGTTACCAACAAAAGTGGATCAGTCAAGCAGAACACTTCTCTTAATCTTGTGATGAAAATACCTCGAACACTGGTGGTGTAACTCGCATACCATAATCACATGCGCTGATGTGCAGTGAATAAAGATGAGTCAAGAAATCGGGATCGAACAATCCTTCTATGGATAACAGATCTAATTAGCCCTCACGGACTTTCTTCCATTGTGTTGTCTCTACAATGTTTTAGATGGGAAAGTTGGATAGAAGTGGAGAAATAGAAGAGTTCTTAGTGTTTTGAATAGTGAACAGGTTGACTGTATGAGCTTATGTTGCATGAGGCTGTCCAAATGCTGATAAACATGTCGAAGATGTCAGTTGAATTTACGTTGTGTCAATAAAAGTCTTCATTGTGGGAAGTTCAATCGACACAATGAGGCTATCTTCTCATTACTAGTCACATTTGAGAATATACTCCCTTTCCTAAGGTTGTGGATAACACAGACAAATGAGAGACGAAAATTTGATTGATCGTGGGGGGTTGGTATTGCAATGTGGTGAATAAAAATTCTAAAATTCTATGAAGATTATTGTTGGGAGGGTTGCTTAACTACCTACTTTTTCAACCGAGACAACTAAGTAGTTGGAGGTTTAGCGACAACTGAGCTTCATAATTAGATTACCAACAGTTTTGTTCATTTCATGGAAACGTTTTATTTTCAAATGGATGCGTAAAATGTGGATGATAAGAGCATAATAAACTTAGTGGAGTCTAGGATCCGTGTTTCGTCCAATTTGGGATTCGTCAGTTGGATGTACACCTGCAAGCTTTCGAGTGATGTTGTTCTCACTAAGACTGCAACTCATAGTCGAACGGCTCAAGCACCGATGCGTTAGCCACAATGTGTCTAAGACACAACAACTGCCTCTTGTTCAATCGGTGTTAGTTATCATTATTTGTTGAAGAGAATCTGCCAATAATAAAGTGTACACTATTTTGTACTCAACTATAAGTTGTCAACATTTGATTGTCTTCACTTATCAAGAAAAGTACAAATAGTTTAGGATCATTCAACCAAAAGGTTTATTAGATAACAATATTTGAAGTCATTCTGGGCGATGATTGAAAGTAAAATGAAAATTTTGGCTGCGGCAAGATTCTAGTGGGTGCTTTCTCAGGTGGTCTGTGACTCCCGACTTTCGTATGAATTGTTGATGCGTTACTTCAGCTCGATCGTAACCACACTGGTTGTCCACTCAGAACTTCTCACTTCAATTCAAATCTAACTGAATTACAGAGGAGGTAAGCATCATATTGATTATCTTTTTGACTATCTTATTGAGTGATTGAAACTAAAATGAAAATTTAGGTGACAGTGATATTCAAAATAGCTTCCATCATATCAAAATTTACCGTTCAATCGAATTTTCGCCAGAATTATTTTAAATTTGACGACATAAATGATATACCTTAAAAAGATGAGATTTTATTGACTTCCATCGTACAACTTCCTGATGATGAAAGATATAAACCACCACCCTGTTAAATGATGTGTGTATTATAATCTTCTGTGCGTTCTTTCGTGTTACACAGCTTTGAAACATAACCATTGAATTTAGAAGACATGAAGACGTGATACGAGTCACTGAAACCTCCTACTGTTGTTTTGAGTAGTGTGGAGCTGATGTAGACTGCCTGATTGAGATCCTAGAGGCGGGAAGAAATCACTGGTTGAGGACTTTAAGTGACATAGTTGAAAATCGGTCACTATGGGTCAGATGTATCTACTTCTTGACGTCTTGTGAAGTGTGGTTATTCACAATAATCATTATCTTCAGATTGTTTATTTTATCACACAACTTTGTTTAGTTTGATATCAAGTGTTTTTTTTATCCTCTTACTATTTGTATGTTCATTGTGAAGTAACTGACAGAAAAGTTCTGTTTTCCAAGTTTCTCTTTATCATATATTATCGAAATTACCTTTCTTCATCGTCTATATCAGCATTGTTCATAAAGTCATCTATGTTCAAAAATTTTTCTTCCATAGATAACAATACAAAATTGAATAGTATGATGAATATATGTAAACCTATTTATATTATTGGTAAGTTATGTTTTTTTTGTAAACTGATTTTTTTAACTGTTTCACTCGACATTTTGAGCACTTTATTTTTCCTGTTATATTTTTTTTTGCCATTATTGTCGAGATTTATTGGGTTCGCAATTCTGACGATTTGCGTGGTGTTTAGGATTTCTGTGTCATTTGCTACATTCATATACATTTTATAAACAAATTAAAAATCCATTATATAATTTTCTT